TGGAGCTGTCGAGCCGTTTCTTCCGCAGTAGGAAACATCACTTATCCTGCAAGAGTTTATGCAAAGCCAAGCTTGTGTTCTGGTAGTCACTTTTTCTGAGAAGTATTGCAACACAGTTTGAGCTGTTTCATAAGCTTGACACTCCATCACGCTAAAAATACATCAATTTATTCATCCATCCCAAATAATTCATCTTGAAAGAAAGTAAATCTTTACAAAATCCTTTTGCGTTTTTGAGCTCGTGGATAAAGCTGGCCACTTGCAGCTATCATCTCTCTGGCATCATTAGGTTGATCACCAAGCCAGACTTTTTCGAATGTGGCTTTAGTCTCATTGAATAGCCTTCCAAACTCATTTTCCTCTATTTGGCAGCATTGAAGTCGATAACAGTGCTTGATTGGTATCCCATCGCTACTCTGTGAAATTTCATTGTATGTGTGCACTAAAATAAGGGATTTGATTTCGTGCACGATAGCAAGCGCCATAGACGTTGATCTTTGACGCTCTAATAGTTCCGCCATAACAAATAAGTCTTCTAGCCCTACAAATCTGTCCTTTGCGAATTTCAGATGCTTCCAGGCGCTTAACTTCTGAAGTATATAGCTTGCATCTGATCCTTGAACAAGTTGGACATTAAAGCAAATGCCGAGGTGACTGACCGAGATAGGTATTGAAGTTATTGTACAATTTGCTATTGAATAGACGGTCTGACCAATAGCTGGTAAGTACTGTCGACGTTCCGTCTGAATGCTTTGAAAGCTCAAGAATGAAAGATCGCCTTTTTGTGTTGCCAGCTCATGGAGTAGTCTTTCACGAGATTGGATACCTTCACCATACGCTAATGCCAAGTGGATGGAAAATACTCCAGCTAAAGCGTACGCCATATCTTCAACTCGCGTTGTTATTCGAGCATCCATTCTAGCCAAAATTTCCGCCGCATTTCCCGGCCGATAATGTAGATGAAGATCTAGAGCACATAGATCCTGATGCTGCTCAGCAGCCAATTCTTGTATAGTGGCAAGCTTTCCTTCCCCTGTTATTCCGCACAGAAGACCAGCTGCGCCACCTTCTTGTAGACACCAGCCTCTCCTATTCCACACATTCAAAGAAGTACCAGAATCCAACACAACGGCGGAACAATTAGCGTACCAGTTGTACATCGAGCGAATAGCTTCATCAAGCTCCGATAAATTTGACTTGTCAATGCAGATTGTGTCGATCCATACGTACCGTGTATGTTCCCGTAATGTTTCTCTGATACGATGTAGCTTTTCTGACATGGTACTAACACCAGTTGCCTGACCATCAGTTCCTTTCCTTTCCATCACATTGTGATATGCTACTTCCATGAAACACCATCTATGTGTAACGAAGATGACATCTGTGGCATCAATGTAATGTACCAGCTTATCTTGTTGAATGTCCCATACCCGGTTAACAACGTGTTTATGTCGCTCCCGCCAAACATCGATTCCGACAGCTTTCGCAGCAGCTACTGGCGACAGTGGTTGGTGAGAAGACTGTAAGCAACTGCATAGGCGGCGGTTCCGAATGCGCCAGTCTGCAGTTATTTCACTTGGTATGGCATTTCGGATAGGATCCAGTTCAATATCGAGTATAGCCATGACTAATTTTTCAATAAGTCCGTCACCTCCGGCAATGCTAAGGATACTGAGACCTGCTATCAAGATGGCATGTAAATCAGTTGCCAGATTTTGCTCTGATCCTCCAACCACATCCGAAAATGTTTCTTGACTAAGGTGATGAGACGATCTTCGACATACATACACAGCGTCAATGAAGCGGAGATATGGGTGTATATGTTTGCGCCATGATGGTAAGGACAAAGGAGTTTTTTTTGTAGGAATCTGCACAATCAAGCGACCTGGTTCTCGTATAATTCCTAACATTTTGTCAAAGCCGGAAGCCCATTTTGGTGGTATTCGTTTGGCACATCCGTCCAGCTCCAACATAAAGAAATAGTCGGATATGAATAACCTAGCATCAAAGCAATTGAACAAGGATTGGGTTATTGTGATAGCACGTCTATCAATAGGTATGGCGCCAGAAATCTTCAAGTTTGCAGCATGAGCAATCACTGCAGGAATATCATTATCCTTGTTATGATCAGGAAATATATCTAATTGGAGGTTTTTTGACAGCGGCCAGCCGTACCCATATTTATGCTTAGTGTGAAGTAGATACCTCTTGTTGGCATTGTTGGCTATGGAGGTAAATTCGTATCGCTTTGAGTAAATATTGGAAATGCAATGGTACAGAAAATAGTAGTAGACTAACACTTACCATTGTACTCGTTGCTCATGTCATCTTTATATTCGCTTAGTACGACATCACTGAGATCAGGCTGTTCCATATTATCGTCCGCAATGACTAACGGTGCATTTAACGCTTTACTTTCACGGGTTGTAACTTCCTTTGATGCGTTGGTTAAAAGGGATATCAGTGATGGGAACTTCTTCTGCATTTTTTCAGGCACTTGTACTCCAGAAGTGTCAGCACCAGCATCGATTAGCATTGTGATAATCGTTATGAATTGACTCTCCAGATGTTGGCCAGTATTACGTTTGAACCGATTAATTGCATGCCTCAATGGATCGTCAAAGAAATCCGAGCTGTGAGTCAAAGCACCGTGCTTTAACAATAGACTTACTAAGGCTGGGTTGCACCTTTCTACTGCGGCATGTAATGCAGTACAGTTATTCCTGTCTTTAGAATTAACATTTGCATCATGTTCAATCAACTGAGCACATGCGTCTTCGAGCTCAGAGTAAACTGCCAGGTGCAAAGCTGTTTGGCCCAATGTATTCTTTGCATTGACATTTGCATGGCGCTTTACCAACAGTGAGATCATTTCCGAATTCTTAGTTTCGATGGCTATATGTAATGCTGTTAACTCGAATTCGAAAGTTGTTGCATCGATATCAATGCCACCATCAATCAGCAAGTTTGGTAGGTCCAGGAACTCATTTTCTAATGCAACGTGCAGAGCAGTTTCCCCTCCGCAATTCTTGGCATTGATATCAACGCCTTGTCCTAGCAGCAGAACCGCTACTTTGTCATCGCCTTTTCTAGCAGCGTAATGAAGGGCTGTGTTGTCGTCTTCATCGGTTGAATGTATATTGCAACCACAATTTAGCAGTATGTGTAGTGCTTCAGTTTGACCTAGTGATGCATAATAATGAAGTACAGTGAGGTTTCGATTATGTTGGTTCCTGGCCTCTATGCAAGCCCCGCGATTAACCAATACAGAAACTACTTGTGGATACTGCCCTGCTAAAAAGAGGGGTGATAGTCCATCATCATTTGGTGCATCAATGTCGGCACCGTCGTCCAGAAGACGTGGTACAATATCAGCCTGTCCTAACTGAGAGGCTTTGCTTAATGCCGCATTCATACAAATTGTCATTTCATCTGTATTTCCGATGGTATCTATAGGTTCTGTGTTCAACTCAATCAGTGGTACATCTGCAGCTAAAGATGGCATTGGTACCCTTTTGTACTCTGTCGAACCTTTTTTCGGTCTCGCATTTGTTAGCTGCCGAGCTATATCAACATGATGTTTTAGCAATGCCACTTGTATCGGTGTTTTGCCTTTTACATTTTTAGCTTCAATGTTGGCGTTATTCTCAAGTAAGGTATTCACTACGTTGGAGTGGTTGAATTCTGCAGCAAGATGAAGAGCGGTATTTCCGTGGACTGTCCTAGCTTCAGTCTGCGCTCCATTATACAAAAGCAGGTCTAGTACGGCAACATTACCCAGCTTAGCTGACCAATGCGTAGCTGTCAAGCCATGGTTATCAGCTGCTTCCATTTCTGCACCGAATTTAGTAAGTAGAGAAACCATAAATAGATATGAGGACTTTGCAGCGACGATTAAAGGAGTCTGGTCGTTTATGTCAAGCGCATCAATATTAGCACCGTGTCCTAAAAGCAACATCGCCATTTGCACATCACCGATTTTCGAAGGCTGAATATTTGCATTACCACGCTCCGGCGAATGCTGTACTAGACTTCTGCATCCACGTCCCGCAGATACGTGCAATGGAGTATATGACACGTTATTTCTGGCATCTATGTCTGCTCCATACTCGAGTAATAATTGCGCTGTTTCTTCATGACCATTCCTTACAGCCATATGGAGGGCGGTATCCATTTGGTCGTCTTTCCCATTAACATAGGCAGTATGGTCGAGCAGTATCTGTACAACTTCTCTATATCCTCGGTCTGCAGCTTTGTGCAATGGAGTACGTAACATGTTATTTTTGGCATCAACGGCTGCTCCAAACGAAAGCAGCAGGTCTACGGTTTCTTTGTGTTCATTCTCTGCAGCCAAGTGAAGTGGAGTATTCGACATTTTATTTTGTGCATCGACAATTGCGCCATGCTCGATCATTTGGTACACTACTTCTTTGTGTCCATGTTGAGCAGCCAAATGAAGTGCAGTAGCTGACTCGTTATTTCGTACGCCAACAGCCGAGCCATGATTTATCAGCAGGTCCACTACAGACTTGTGTCCACTGGTCGCGGCATAGTGAAGAGCTGTATTACCGTCTATATCACTGGTATGAATATTACAGTCGTAATTCAACAATGTGCGGAGGGCTTCAATTTGGTTTAGGGAAGCATAGTGATGTAGAACACCTTGGTGTCGATCTTTGGTGTTCCTAGCCGTAATGCTGGCTCCATGATGGATCAAAGTGTTTATTACTTCCGGATATTGACCAGCCAAGAACAGCGCCGATAGTCCATCTTCGTCCAGCGAATCAATGTCTGCACCTTTGTTCAAAAGATACGATACCACATCAGATTTCCCATGCTGAGATGCTTTATGCAACGTTAAGTTGAAGATATCAGGTTGCGACGCTTGCAGCATCACCATATTGTTCAACACATCACTTGTGTCTCCCTGAATAGTTTGTTGCTCGCTGCCATTTGGCTTGATCCCATCTAAAAGCTTAAGGCGGCCTCTTAAAAAGCGTGGATGTGAACATTTCCAGGTAGGGCGTTTTAGTGACCCCTGACGCTTTAGGCCCCAAGCGGATCTTTGCGTCTCAACATGGAACCCGTACCTTTGAACAGAAAATGAGAAAAGTTTGGAAGGTGTCACTATCATTTCGATTCTGATAAACCAAATAACAGATCAAATAACGATGTAGTTACTGATCATCACAAACCATAGTTTCCTTACTTATAAAGTTGTCGCCTGAAATCATTGAGCCTTGTGTTCCTGAAGTATGCTGGTAAAACCATTTGGGCAAACGTCGGTGTGTTCTTTACGAGAAACGATGATCCATCAAGGCTCCATGATATCAGGTGCTGGAACCGTGAATCAGTGACCATACTGTAGGTAATTTATTGCCATAAATTAAGCATAGAATGAGCAATATGACAGAAGGCAGTACAGAAAGCAAACTTACTCATATAGTCGGCGGACGAAGTTCACATTATAATCGTTTGGTGGGCGTAGCGACGGTATTTTATCCGTTTTTTCTGATTTATATGGCACTTCATTATAGTGTAGGTCGAGTTCAAGGTCGTCAGATGTGAACTGTACCGGTGACAGGTTGGGTAAAAAGAGAGAGGGTGAAGTGAAGTCGTTTGCGAGAAAAGATGAAACGGAGTCGTTTGTGAGAGAAGGTGAAATGAAGTCGTTTGTTAGAGAAGGTGAAATGAACTCGTTTGGGAGAGAGAGTGGAATGGATTTCTCTGTGAGAGGAGGTGAAGTGAATTCGTTTGTGAGAGGAGGTGAGATGAATTCCTTTGCGTCAAGGGATACCGGAATTGGGAGAGTAGAGTACAACGCCGAGGAAAACGGACCCGAAGTGGCGCGTTGTTCCATTTAGAATTCGTTATCTGGAAAATAGCAGATGCCGGTTGAGAAGGTAGGTATACAGCCCTCACGGGAAGTAGTTCAGTGCAAAAGATGCTGGCGATATCCCGAGCTGCTACGCCACAACCCTAAAACAAATCACGTTATGAGGGCCAGATCAAGTGCTCGACCCTGCGGATTTCGCTCTCTCCTGGAAAAAGAGCGAACGTTCACATTGGAAGTGCCTTTGGAGCCATTAAATATGCAGATCTAATTCTAACATAATAGTGTTTCAACTTTTGTGAAGTTGGAAACAAATCGGGTTGAATTTTAGTGCCTATCTTCTGGAAGGTAACATGGCAGGTTCAAACAGTAAAGCGGAGGCTATCACATCAAGAGCGCCGCAACTGAATACCTGATAATATCTAAGATTTTCTGGTACGGTCACTGTGCAACTTGATTCAGTACGGAAGCAAAAAAGTCAGCAGCTTTGAAGGCAGGATTTGCTATCATAAGATGATCCTCGAGAATCAAAGCAGCACTCGTTATATCATTGATCGATTTTATTCAAATATCAGCAAATTGAAGCAATGACGCCTTGCTGAAACTAATAGAGCATCGCACAAAAACATGGCATTTGATCGACGATGCGCAGTGACCAGGTCTGTATTCAGTGGTCTGCATTCGTCATATTATACCACTTCATGCTATAGTGCTGTCCTGTAAAACAAGCTTCGTCTTCCGGTCCAGTATCAAGCAAGACGGACGCGGCATAACGACATCATATTGCTCGCCCCGCCCCTTGGCAATACCAGTCCGAATCATCAATATACATTTCTTCCGCAATTGTAAGGAGTTTGTCGTTGCTGTCAATAAACCTTCATAAAGGATTCTTGATAGACATTAGTGGAAGTACATTTTAACTAGGACGATTACAAGGAATTTAATCAGTTCTAAAAGAATTCCCAAATGAAAACATATCATTTATTGCATTAACCATTATTTCTTGTTTCCACAGGGAAGAAATCGCAGAATTATGGTCACATTTGCACCTGTTCCATCAGGCACATCACGCGGCCAGATTCTCTCTAGTTTCTTACGACCTTCGGCAAATAACTTTGAAAATCCAATCTCATCTATCTGACAGCACTGTAGTCGATAGCAGCATTTTATCAGTCGTCCATCAACCACCTGTCTGAAAATCTTTATCGTATACCTTTACTCACATTTACTCACATTTACTCACATAACGTATCTGATATAATGCACGACATAAATCTCCGTTCAAAGGTGAAAGGAAACCTGCAGGTACAAATGTAATGGATAGCGATGTAATATAATATCTGAGGTTATCCAAGCAACAATGAAGCTGAAGCGTACCAGAGCAAGAGGACGTCCGATATCACTTTATACAGAAAGTTGGTTCAGGGGCCAAATTACCATCACCTGCTCACTCTTTATAAGCTGGGCTTGACCAAAGAGAAAGTAACGACTAACTGCGCAAATGCATTTTCCCAAACTTTCTGCTACTGTTCTCAGGAACCACAGCAGAACTGCAACTAACCCTGCTTGAATGCGCGTCTCGAGAAGTGAATGAAGGAAAGGAGTTCAAATTTTCTGCCCTCAGCTCTGAACGCTATGTTAAAACAGACTCAGGCAATATGCACAGAGTCGTTGGTTTAAGTGAATGTCCTTTGCGACAAGAGGTAGCAGGTGACCGGCAACCGCTTGCTAGAAAAGACTGGTCACGTGAAAACGTTTTTGGAAGAAAACTATGAAGAGAGAAGGTACGCGGAGGCTTAAGGGTCGAGAAAATGGCGATTTTGTTCGTAAAAGAGCTCATTGTCACGATAGTTTCTTGCCACAAAGGGTGAGTCGGTCTCCCGGTAGTGGCCTTTGGCGGCTCCCTATATTCCTTGGTTGAAGCTCAGACTCCGAGTCAGAATACTCGCCACACGGCGAGAATCGAACCCGGGACCGAACAACAACCTCAGAATATGGAAGTCGCTAAGACCACTGGACCAGAAGACCATACTCAATATATAGAGAAAATGACATGATCATGACCATCACTTTTACGAACAAAATTGCTATTTCCTCGACCCCTGGACACACCACAGACTCCATTTGACTCTCATATCATACCCCTCCCTTCTCTGCATAATTCCATAGTGCTAGTTATTTTCTACAGCTTCGAGGGGATGAGGAACCAGAGATATAGACAGCTCACAGCTTGAAAGAAAGTTGGTGTAACAGAGTGGCAGTGCGCACAGACCTTGTGTATCAAGAGTGTGGGGTAGGTTAGAGCTGTTTTCGAGCTAAGGAGCGTGTTTAGTAAGCTTTAAGGGCGTAAATTCGTTCAAAGCGGACCATTTATGTGCTATTAGGTGTTTAAACGTGCAGCAGTCGCGTGTATTGGCTCTATTGGTCATGGTTATTGAGAATACAGACGGTACAGCTTGGGCAGAGGAACCAGGGGTAAAGGGGAAGCTTGAATGATGGTTTGTTACTTTATTTAAGGCATAGGAAAAGGAAAGCAATTACATAGTTTGTTGAACACCGTATTACTCTTAAGTAGACACAGTTTCTTTAGAGTACGGTTCAAGACCTTTTGTGATTCACTGATGTGCAAATGCAGATTGGCATTGGCAGCTGAGATCGCGTCCCACTGTCGGGTGTTCATCGTAATGACCCAATAAATGAAGTATCATTCTGCAAAGTTGTCGTTGATAACCTTGTTTCTAGAGATATGATCTTCTTTAGTAGCTTCGAGAAATATTGTGAGTTGGCTTTCCCTTGTTGAAAACGATTAATCGTCTCATGTTGCAACAGCAGACGTACTAATTTTTTATGACCGCTGTATGCAGCCAAGTGAAGTGCAGTATCACCACATTTATCTCTGACGCAACAGCCGCACCTTTTCTGACCATTAGCTGCGCCATTTTTCATGTTTACTCATTTGTTTATTCCAGCCAAGTGAAGTGCATTAACTGAATCGCTAGTTTCTAAATCTACAGTTGCACCATGATCCAGAAACAGCTGTACTACTTCTTTGTGTCCGTTCTTTGCAGCCAAGTGTAGTGGAGTACGTAGCAAGCTATTTTTGGCATCAATGGCTGCTCCATGATTGAGCAGCAGGTCTACCATTTCTTTGTGTCCATTCTCTGCAGCCAAGTGAAGTGGAGTATTTGAGAACTCTTTTTGTGCGTTAACAGCCGCGCCATGCTTGATCAGCAAGCCTGCCACTTTTGAGTGTCCATTCGTTGCAGCCTGGTGTAGTGCAGTTTCTGAATCGTAATTTCCATCGTCGACGCTAGCTCCACACCTCATCAACAGCTCAACTACATCTGAACGACTATTCGCAGCAGCCAAGTGAAGTGCAGTATCGCCACATTTGTCTCTGACGTCAATTGCCGCACCATGGTTAAGCATTAGCTGTACTATTTTTTCAGATCCATCCCCTGCAGCAAAGTGAAGTGCAGTATCTGAATCATCATTTTTCCAGTCTACAGTCGCACCATGATCCAGAAGTAGTTGTACCACTTTTTCATACCCATTCATTGCAGCCAAGTGAAGCGCAGTATCTGAAAAATCATTTTTAAAATTCACAGCTGCACCATGGTTCAGAAGCAGGTGTACTATTTTGTCAGATCCATCCTTTGCAGCCAAGTGAAGTGCAGTCTCTGAATCGTCATTTTCCGAATCTACAGTTGCACCATGGTTCAGAAGCAGCTGTACTATTTCTTCAGATCCATTCATTGCAGCCTCATGGAGTGCAGTATCTGAGTCGTTATTTTTCAAATCTACAGTTGCACTATGGTTCAGAAGCAGTCGAACCACTTTTTCATGTCCATTCATGGCAGCTAAGTGAAGTGGAGTATTTGATATTTTACTTTGTGCATTGACAGCCGCGCCACACTGGACCAAAAGGTCTACTACTTCCGTGTGTCCGTTTTTGGCAGCTAGATGAAGCGCAGTAGCTAAGTCGTTATTTCGCGCATCAACATCCGCACCATGTTCGACCAGCAGCTGTATTACTTTATAGTGCCCATATCTTGCAACCTTGTGAAGTGGAGTATTCAAAGTCTCATCCTTTGCATTGACAGCCGCACCATGTTCGAGCAATAGCTGTACTACTTCTTTGTATCCATTTCCTGCAGCATGGTGAAGTGGAGTACTCAACGTCTCATCTTTTGGATCGACAGCCGCGCCATACTTGAGCAGTAGGTATACTATTTCTTTGTGTCCATTTTCTGCAGCATCGTGAAGTGGAGTACTCGACGTTTCATCTTTTGCATCAACAGTCGCACCATGCTCGAGCAGCAGCTGTACTACTTCCTTTTCTCCAGATGATGTTGCTAGATGAAGCGCAGTAATCTTCATATCGTCCTTCCATTGAACATCTGCACCTTGTTGTAGGAGACTCCTAACATTTTCGATGTTCCCATCAGCCGCAGCATCAAGCCACCGAAGACGAATATCGTCTTTTTTATCAGTATCGCGAACAAAGTTACGCTCGCTAGGATTATGATCCATCGGATGATCTTCTAGAACCTGATGCTCTTCCATGTGCTTACAACGTCAAAGGTGTATTGGGTTATGGGAAGAAAGGAAGAAGAGAAAAATGCTAAAATTATACGCTGGAGCAGGTTTTTGAAGAGTTAAGCCTCTGTACAACAAGCAAAATCCGTATCACTCGACTGTTTTCCAAATCAGAGTTATGTTTTGCCGGACACTATAAAATTGTAAAATTTCGATTTCTTTACTATTGGCTGCAATGGCAGAAACAACTTTTGCTTATCTTCAACATGATACGTATGCTTGACTAATGCGCTACTTCATCGATGAGCCTTATCCAATAGAAAAGGGTATTATATAAAATCAGTCAATGCCGTATTCCATTGGTGCTGAGGGGTGTACAAAATCAGCTCTCCTGCTTACCGTCATGATTGAATTTCACATCAACGACGAGACTGTTAGCCCAGTCTTTGCAACAACGCGATAGACGAGTATAAAACCCATCCTTTCGTCTCGAGAAACTCAAGCTTACCAATACACTTGGGCTTCATCGCCGTCTCTGATTCAGTATTGTATTTCAAATGAATCTGATCAGTAATACCAATTGGCGTTTTTGAAAAGATGAAATAACGATGAGGTTACTGATGGAAACCTATCGCAAAACATAGTATATATCCTATTCCGACTATGATAGAGAATTTCCAGCAGGGTGTTGAAATATATATTGCAGAGGTATCAAGGTAGCTTGTTCTAAAATAACACATACAATGAAACCGCTTTCTTTTATTTTATTTTTTGGAAGGAGGAGGGGTTACAGCAAGCACTTAAAAGGCTGTTTCTAAAGTTGCATACTTGTTCAACAATGCATCAGCCTTCAAAGCATCTGCACCGGCATGCTCTACAGTTATCATAGCAGTAACATCTCCAGAGTCCTTATCCTGCGTCATAAGGCAGTATCCAGGAGGAAACACAGTACCGCCACCCGACGTTGAGCTGAACGGCTTTCCCCATCCCAAATCGAATGCTGGGCCCTGCAAGTCGAATCGACACCAATTGGTTAAAATGATATCCGCTGCCCAATCTATACGACCGGGAGGTTGGGTATTTTTTTCATCGTCGAAAAATGCAATCCTTCTGGCGATGGCTTCTGGTGAAAGGTGGATATTTAAGCCACTTCGAATAGCGAGAGCGACACGAGAAGCTGCGTCGGGAGTGGAGGACAAAAGATCGGATCGAGAAATCTCGGCACTCCAAAGGTTATTGAAGTTTCCAAAGTACTGTCCACCAGACATCTTGGCATGAACAGATCTATCGCGACCATCAGCGGCCATAGCAACGTTTTCGATGTGTGACTCTTCGCTAGCCCTCCCCTTTAATCTCGGTACTTTTCCAATATGACGAGCACGTGTAATGACACCAGACACAATAGCAGCAAGTGCATCGCCCGACGAAATCCAGAGACCAGACTTGGTTTCATTCGATAATGCAGGAGGTGAGAAATCGTTCTTCATTTGTTCCATCGAATTTTTGGAGAACTTCCACCTTGAAACCACCGACGGTACCAGCAAGTATGCAGCTGGGGCTGTGACTGGAGTAGGTGAGACTGAGAAGGGTGGAGGAGATGGATATATTTCTTCTGTTGCTTGCTTGATCACACGTGGAAAATATTGTCCAGGATTGCGGGACCAATCTACTGGAATTCTTGTGAAATCAGGGCTTTCACCTCGCGCGAGCTGAGCCCATACTTCAAGAAAATCGAGGAATCCGCGTAGATCAGCGACTTGATGGTTAAAAGAGGAGGCTACAGCAATGGTTCCGCAGGAAAACTATTATAAAAATTGATTCATGTTCAGATTGAGCGGATATAAGAATGCCAAACGGTATGGATCATTACCTGAGTCACTTTCACTGCTAATATGCTTGATAATGGAGGCAGTACCACATCAGTACGAGGAGATAGATCTTCTGAATCGCCAGTATATGGCGTATCTTTCGTATCGACCAAAAATGGAGTACCCAATATATGTTCGGCGTCCACGGCTATGCACGTCTCACCCTTTTCATTGTCTATTACGGTTCCTGTCACCGGTGGATACAACTCGAGTGCTTCAGCAAGAGAGGACTTCAGGTTATTAATTACATCAGAAAAAGCACCGTTCGCGGGATGAAAGAACCGGTGATTATGGATTTGAATGGGAGAGCTGAGAAGATCCAGACCATGCAGTACGATCGACGATGGCGGAGGTTCGCGATTATATTTTTTGGTTGGGTATATGGTATAAGCCTGGACAGTCATTCTTTCGAGAATGCAAGAGTAGTGAAACTGCCAAAGATCAACTGAATGTGAGGAGAGTTTGGCTCAACTGGCCCTCGTCCTTATATAACGATCGAAAAAATGGAAGTAACTTTAAAACTTGATATGTTTCGGTAGGCAGACCGGAGAATCAACAATTGCTACCATAGTTGTGAACTGCGGTTCAGGCCATACTTCCAATTGTATATTTTGACTAGATAGATAAACCCTTCATTAGCGTTAATTTTTATAATTTACAGCTCGATTGATATCTTAAGCACTTTTGAACGAATAACAAGTATGTCGTATGTTATTCAGAGTAGTAACTTTTGGTCCGTGTTGCGATTATGGCTAACGATCAGTCCGCTTGCCGCAGTCAGTGCGGTGTGCATAATGACTGCGAAGAATACTGAAAAAGTGGACCTCTACTATTGCTAGACTCGCGCACTTTGGCTAGGTGGAAACAGAGTGTGGTCCCATCACTGGACATCACCATATCGGTTGCTGTCATATGCTCACCATGTGGGATACGATGCTCAATTTCCAGGTAACCATGTAAGCTAAATGCTGTTGTAGATCAAGAAATGGATACAAACGAAAATCTGCCCAATGCAGTATATTTTTACTATTTTTTGCATGAAAGTATACCAGTTATTGTATAATGGTCGTTCAGTTGTCAAAGTGCTATCCTAGACTGGTAATCCTCATTGCGAGCTCTAAATTTAAGTTTGAAAACGGATATTGGATGAGGCAATTGTCCAATATACACAGTTCCATCGGAATCTGACTCCCTCGTATAATCCAATAATGTTTCCTTCACACACATGGAATACATATATCATTGACAATGCTCGAGGGTCAGCCTTTTTAAAAAACATAAAACATATTTTAATTAGTTTTCTACTGCTTACTCTTTTTGTTGAGATATAAAATTTGTCCATGTGAGCTTTAAATAGTGTTCTGGTGTGGATCTTCTCAATCCAACAGAACAAATGTGTTTTTGTCGTCACTGTGTGCTATATCTGTTTAAACAGCTCCCGAAGATACTCTTGACTCGATAGCGCAGCTGTTATCGCATTCTCGCCTTGTTCATTCATAGACAAAAAATTCGCTCGATTTGGCAAATATTGCCTGGTCTGTACGGTGCCTCGCTGTTCATAGTCTTCTTGTAACCTTCAGCATGCAGAAGGATTGAAAAAAGCTCCTTATTCTGGGGTCAGTTATCTCTATCCTTATTTTTCCACATTCCATAGCCAATAGTTATACTTTCTCTGCTTGGATATCTGTCTGTGATTTGACGTTAGTCTTCTATTAATGACGTTCACGTTTGGCAGATGGCTGCGGAGTTATCGGCAAGCAGACAATGATCGATGGGTTCTTTGGGATTCGAGATGGTGCGGTCTACGTCACCGTCGTTTCACGTGATTGTCCGTGGCTTACAATTGCGTGGGTCGTCGTCGGACTTTTTTGTTTACAGTACTTTTTCATTGACCGACCAGCCTTTTTTTTTTTCCTCTCATTGGTTTTTTAACTTCCACTTTCCGCTTCGTACTCCGTTGGCAAACAAGGTAACTATTCTAATTGCCGGTTGTCTTTATGAAAGGTGGGGTGGCGGGATCGAGAGATGGAAGGCGACAAAGATATTATCAACATCGACAGACAGTTTGTGCCAAGACCAACCAAGACGCCTATTTTCCCATGGTGGTCTTAATCGATTACGCTGGTCAAAACGATGTCTTTCTGGTTTAAAGCAAGTTTCGACCCACCAAATGTCTACATTTCTGGCGGCGCTTCATCTTTAACCTACCTGGCAGGTCAGAATATTCAATACCACTGCCCTGTTCAGCATATCGAGTAGAGACCTACTCCCCGCAATACTACGACTGACTGATTCAGCCAGAGCGTCTCATCTGCTAGCCATGGAGAGCTTGAAAAACGCATTTGCTCAAGATCCCAACTTGATGAGTCTCGCTTAGTCATTCATTTCAAAGCTACAGTTCACTAACCAAGTCTTTTTTATATAACCCATTTTTTTTTTTTATTTTTTTTTTATACTCTGTGATCTTTTTTTTTTTTCTACACTCTGTTTTTTTTTATTATTATTTTTTATTTTACTTTCTCTCCTTCCATTCTGCTCAACCCTAATCTCTCTCGGGTCGGGTCACTTTGGGTTCATTCTGCCAACTTCTTTATCTCTACACTCTAACGTCTGGACCCTGATTCCACGTTATTACTTTTTTTGTTTGCAAACCCAACCGCCTTTTTCGCCGCTTCAATAATCTTGCTAGGTACCATGCAGCAAATGCCCTACTATCCACCTGGCTACCAGGCTCCATCTCCTTATGCTTCCTCTCATCTGTTGCAAGCTGACAATGGCCTTCCTCAGCTAGCTCATCCCGTCGGTGTCAGCGAACCAAACACGCCATCTCCCGGTACCGCTCAGCCAGCAAAGAGAAAGCAAGTCAAGAATGCCTGCAGTAAGTACCGTATCTCTTTGATTTTTCCTCCGGTGAGCCCTAGGCTTCATCGTGGGCGCGCGTTTGGTCGATACATGCCGAGTACCCGCACACGCCATGTTGGGTCATGGAGATAGCCTCTCACACACCTCTTCCGAAACCGATAATCGGCTTGGCTATCTTGATGCGGGCTCCCAATTAGCAAACAATGAAAACGCGCTGGAAACGCGTACGCGTTTTCACGAGGGGTCTTCAAACTGCGACAACCTTAAAATATGACATGTCAGCGCTCTATTGTACTAACATTGGCATTGTTTTTGTTTTCTAGCCAATTGTCAAAAGGCCTGTAAAAAGTGTGATGAAGCTAGACCCTGTCCTCGTTGCGTAAAGTACGGAATTGCGAACACGTGCGTAAATTCTACTCGTAAAGAGCGAAAGAAAGGCGTCAAGCGTGGTCCTTACAAACGAAGACAGAAGGGTGGTAAGTGTATGATAAGATCGAACATGTGAGGTTGGATAGCCTGACTAAAAAAAAAAAATTTCATTGCCTGCAGATGGCGAGGCTTCTACTCCAGAGGCAAGGACCCCTCGTCGCAAGAACAGTCCGGAACAACCTCAATATGATCCCCAGAACATGAGAGCTTCGATGCCATTTGGTTACCCCAATGGCTTGAACCAATATGGCCAGCCTTATGATGCCTATGGACAGTATGCTTCGCAACAGTACATGGTCAACCCTGTGTACCCTGGCATGTCCTACCCTGTGCAGCAGATGGTACCAGGAGCAGACGGGCATGGTCAAAACCAACAGGGTGGACAGCATCAATATGCCACTCACTCTGCCATGCCTCATGCTCAACAGCATTCCCCATATAACGGATACCAAGGTTCGCCCCACCAGCAATCTCGGCCCCTGCAACAAGTTCATCCCGGTAAGTTGATGGTCCGCCCGACTACCCCCTCAACGTCATTTTTCATTTTATTAACATGATTCTATCAGGGGATGTCAAGGATGAGCAAAAGCCACATCAGCCTCTGACTCCTGTACCAAGTACAAGCAGCTCATCGGCTGCGTCATCACCGCATGTCAATGTTGCTGGAGTTGGCGCTAATGTATCTAACGGAGGCGACAATGATGAAGAAGGTTCTCGATTGGCTCGTCTTTCTCAGTTGTGTCGTGCTGCTTTGGATCAATCCGATGGTCCTACCGAGAGCACATAATCTCAACCAGCCTGCGAGTGTGTGCATAGGCGATGATGTACCCCTACAAGACAAACGATTTCCACTTGGTGCTTGAAACCAATCCGGGTCCATCTTGCTATGTTCACCCTCTGCCTCACTCATGCTCTTATTGCTTTCCTCGCTATATTTTGTTTTTCTTTTCGTTATCTGTTTCTTTTAAATCATCAAAATGGCCACGGAGCCTTTTTATTCCAAAAAAAAACACCTTGCTTCACACTTTTACCAAAATGAAAATCCCACATCATTACTATTGCTCCAACTTGAAGATGTTTGATGTTCCATCAACGTCGTATGTCCATTTGCAATTGTGGTTCCCTGTTCATGGCTCTTCCTATACAAGAGAAGAACATTCCTATACGCTATACATCCATCAATGGGATTGGCGGACTTTGTGTGCACTGACAGGGACGGTGGTGAGTCATTAGAAACAAGACCTCTGTTCAACTATATCGAGGTGCAGTCTACACTATATCAAAACACATGCACACACTCTGGCCTCTTGAAGAAAACGTTATTTATTTTGAGAGAAACAAATTGTTGGAGGGAATGACGTTAACGCTTAAGCTTGTTGCTTCTTAAGGGCAGCAACAGCGGGTCCAACAACAGCACGACGCTAAAATACAAAAATTCAATCAGTCAGCAAGTGCAATGAATTGGGGGTGGAGGTGAGGTTTGTATCTTAACCTACCTGGTTCTTAAACTTCAAAAGCTTGAAACGATCGAAGTCGCCCAAGTTCTTTCTCTGTGTGCGGTTAGCGAGCTTCTGGGCCCATGCGGTCTTGTTCCAGGCAGCCATGGTCTCGTTCTTCTCAAGAGACTTCTTGAGGGCGGTGGCACCAGCAGCACGGGGCAAGTCCTTGACAACCAAAGGAGTCAAGGTAAGACGACGGTAGGCAAAAGCTTGACGCTTGACACCGGTGGTGGGACCGTCGATGAGGGCACGGCTGTGGTCAACAATGTCGACGATGACAGCGAGCTTGCCAGCATCAGCACCGTAGTTGATAAGGACGACACGGCCGACTTCGACTTGGCGTTGGAATGAACCGGACTAGAAAAAGGAAGAATCAAGAAAATACGTTAGTGGTCAGGTCATGAAGCAGTGTATAATATAAATGAAGAGGATAGGTGCGAATGTGTCGATGGGCTGTTGGACATTTCGAATCCCTTGAAGACGAGTAGCAATGGACAGCTGGTTTGTTAATAGGGATGGGTTGAATGTCGAGTAATGTCGATTCGCTCAGGTTTACTGAATCCGTTCCTTGAGCAGGTCCATCACATCCATCAATCCATCGATTACGTCCATCGATACATCCATCCGTCGCATCCGTCGGTCGTATCCAGATTCATATAGGGTATATCATGGTTCATGAACGTATGCTCACCATAGCGAAATCTAAGGGAGAAGGAGGGATTTTGCGTATTCGCCGTACGGTCCTCTTTAGGCGAGCGGTCTTGCGATGGCTGGGTTGAATCTAAGCCACCGCTCAGAAATTTGGGCAGGTCTGATAATTTCGCATCCAGAAAGAAAAAAAAAAGTCGCCCATTATAGACTCCATAGAACATGCCTAGCTACTTGGTGCAATTTGCACAGGTCAGTACAGTCGCTACCCGTAGAACAACCTTTGTAATGCATACTAACCGAGATTCCCTTTCAGTCACACGATGAATTTCGACTTCCTGAATTCGAGTCTCTAGCAGTCATAGAGAATGTCAACGTCAAGTTCAACCGAGACGAATACCGCCTTGACGTACGTTACAGACCATATTTTGGCCATGCGTTTTTTTTTTTTTCAATTGTGAACGAGAACACTTTTATTAATCAAATGATTGACGTACCCATGGTCTACTTCTACCCCATAGCGTCCATTTCTTAAAGTAGAAATCGAATCAGACGAAGAAGCCGCAAAGCTCGTCAAGCGAGCCATTCTCATAAAGTAAGTAAAAGCACCATTCGTCACTTAAACCATCTACAATGAAGGGTGTCATAGGATAGCTAATCTCATTCAAATTGATCTTGTATAGATCAATATACGAATTGTGGGGTGAAGGAGAAAATCTTGAAGAACTTCATGCTTCCGTTAGAGAAACTTCAGATCGATGGGTAAATAGCCATACTCGTTTTGAAACTGGAATCCCCATTCATAATCTCACATTTTTAACACTTCTTGCCTTAGCCACACTATATGGGCAAATCATTCAAATTTTCCGTCACGGCGTTCGGATCGACCATTGTTGCAAAGAAGTCCTTAGAGATGATCAATTCGTTCTCTTTCTTGGGTTTCGACGGTGATATCGACATGACCAACCCACAATTCCAGTTCAGTATCCTGGTTGATTTTGGATCTGAGCGATCAAAATACATGAAGGTTGGAACGTTTGAAGCGGAAAAAATGTACTTGGGCAAGCTGGTGACCAGCGGTAGTCGAGATCTCGTCAACCGATACAACCTCAAGAAACGCAATTACCTTGGAACCACGTCCATGGATGCGGAGTTATCGTTGATCATGGCCAATCAAGCGCTTGCTGGTCCTGGTAAATTGGTGTATGATCCATTTGTCGGCACCGGTAGTTTCCTGTTCACCTGTTCTCATTTCGGAGCATATACGCTGGGTTCGGATATTGATGGTCGTCAAATTCGAGGCAAGGGAAAATCCAGTATCAAATCCAATATTGCTCAGTATGATCTCGGTGATCGTGTGCTTGATACCCTGACGTTTGATATATGTCATAACCCATGGCGCATTGACAATTGGCTTGATGCCATTGTGACTGACCGTAAGTTGACGTTTACAAATATCATGTATGTATGCATTGGCCAAGCAATGTGGCATTCTAATCCCCTCACTCTCCCTTACTAGCTCCGTATGGTGTACGTGCAGGTGCCAAAAAACTGGGGAGAAAGGAGAATTCAAAAAAACAAGTGTCTTTGCGAACTTATGAAGGCCTCCCTATGCATGAGTAAGTTAATATCACCATGAGCGAACCACCCATATATGCATTGGACAATCGTTCTAATTATTAAATTTTTAGACGGGATGACTATTATCCTCCTACAAAGCCATATGAAATGTCAGAGGTATTGATGGATCTACTGGAGTTTTCAGCTCGCCAGTTGAGATTAGGTGGACGTCTGGTATACTGGTTACCTACTATTGTAGACGAGTAAGAACAATTTGGTGGATTTTTTTTAAAAATCATTTCTTTGTTGGCCCTACTCACACTCCCCGTCTTCCAGGTACTCAAATGAAGATGTACCCCAGCACCCATGTATGAAGCTGATTTCTAACAGTGAGCAAAACTTTGGAGCATGGTCACGGCGGTTGATTACCATGCAAAAAGTCGCTGAAGCACACCAAGGCGAGCACGCAACAATTCCTGTGCACCATCATTCTGAAAATGACGTGACTGCGAATCGAGTGGAACAACAGGTACGCATGCGAGAAGAGGAAAGTACCGAAGAAGCGGAGCAAAATAAACAGCAACCAGGCCATTATGCCTTCCGTGAAAAGGTGAGCTTATTTCTGTTATCGAGATGAGGGGGATTACATTCTTATTAACCAACGGCATGCAACTCTACAGTATTTTGGTGTATTTTAAAAGATTCGAAGTTAAACGCATCTTTTTGTGCGGAACGTCATATTCAAAAATGAATAAAAAAATGCCATAAATGGTCAGACCGTTTGAAATTTCTCTGTTTCGTTTTTTTGTTTTCAGAGATTCGTTTTGCTTTGTCATGTCAGAATCGTCGAAATCTCAACAGGGCCTTTCGCCTAGGTTGCTTCCCATTGACGATGATCTAAGTTCCAACCTGTCCAGGGTCATCTCTACCAACAACTCTATTATGGCTGAAGCTGCCAACTTACCACCAGCTATTCCCCCCTTTGGCACCTCTCCCGCCCCCAGTTTCGGAAGAAGTTTTCCTAACCATCCCGTAGATATGGCTGAGCATCTTTTTTCTGCTCATGGAGCACCTGTGCCTTCCAACTCTGTAGCAGCCTATGAAAATGGCTTGATTAATTTGCCAGAGGAACAAGTGGCTCGAGTTGTGAAGGAGCATTTATTATTTGGTTCTCCCAAACTCAGTGGCAGAGCTAGTCCCTCCCTCCATAGTGTGTACGACTCTGATGCTGCAAGTAATGCAGGTCATTCATCAGTCTATGATGACCGTGACACTGCAGATTATCAAAATGCTGTTCATCAACTACCAGGCGGCTCCATTGTCGATGGCATCTATAAGTGGGCAGCTAACGTTGATTCACAACATGCGGATCGCCGAAAACGCTCGAAATCATTCTCATTACCACCGGCAAGAGACGTTGATGATTCTACGGCATCCGACCTACGTGCGCCAGGTGGTTTCCGTCGTCATTATGTCATTCACAGAGCCGTTGAGCAGGGCAAAGCTCCCCCCAATTACATTACCAAAAACTTTTTCGACTTCTTATGTCTCTACGGTAACTTTGGAGGTGAAGACTTGAACGACGACGAAGGATATGAAGAAGAGGAGGATGATGAAGAAACCGCTGGGCTTGTACATGGACGAGATGAGAATACGCCGTTACTTCCTAAGCACGACCAACCACCCCAAGGCAACGCTACTGCATCCAAAGCTGTGTTCTTGTTACTCAAGTCATTTGTTGGCACAGGTAAGTGGAGTGGACCTTCCCCGCAGCAGGCAAAGTTTTTTTTTTCTGACTTTCAATTGTACAAAGGTGTCATGTTCCTACCAAAAGCGTAAGTACAAAGTCTAATCGAAGTCAGGTCCCATTAATTAGCGCCATTCTAATTTGTGCTCCCAACCAAACAGATTTTACAACGGAGGGTTGGCCTTTTCAGTTGCTGTGTTGATAGGCATTGCGTCCATTTCTCTCTATGCCTTCTTGCTCCTCGTCAAAACTCGTAGTCATGTCACCGCTAGTTTTGGTGATATGGGAGGAATTGTAAGTGGGACAACTGGAAACCACCCCGTGCTATAGCTGCTCATACTTTTTTGTTTTGATTTAGTTATTTGGCCCTTCCATGCGGTTTTCGGTACTGGTGGCCATCACATTATCACAGGTAAACACAAGGTCCCCTTTATACATTCGTCATTCCGCTCGATTTGGCATAACCATAGAACTTTCTGCGTATAGATTGGATTTGTGTGTGCCTACATGGTGTTTGTTGCTCAAAACCTTCAGTCACTCGTTCTCACCTTCTCGAATTGCCGGTCAAACGTAGCTCTACCCTGGCTTATTCTGGTGCAATGTTTTGTGTTCATTCCATTGGCCATGATAAGAAGAATTCAGAAGTTGTCTGTGTTCGCCTTGATTGCCGACGTCTTCATCTTGTTTGGATTGGCATACCTGTACTATTTTGATTTCTTAACGCTTGCTACCACTGGACTTGGTAAAATCGCCATGTTCAATTCCAAGAACTTCACCTCCTTTATCGGTACCGCTGTGTTTACGTATGAGGGTGTTGGTCTCGGTAAGTGTTTGATTTCCAAGCTTTGTGTCTACAACTGTGTCAGCTGATCCGTCGTCATCTAGTCATTCCTATCACTGAGTCTATGAAGGAACCACACAAGTTCCCAAGAGTCCTGACTGGTACCATGATCTTCATCACCATCCTGTTCACTTCCGTTGGAGCTATTTCTTATATGGCATTTGGCGATAAGGTGCAAACTGTGATCTTGCTCAATCTGCCCACCGGTGACCCTATGGTGTCTATTGTGCAAACTTTGTACTCTGTTGCCATTTGTCTTTCTATCCCTCTTCAGCTGTTCCCGGCCATTCGTATTATTGAAACTGGTCTCTTCACGAGATCAGGCAAGTACAACAACCTGGTCAAGTGGCAGAAAAATGTGTTCAGATTTTTCTTTGTGCTCTTGTGTGCTGCCATTGCTATAGGTGGATCTAATGTAAGTTAGAGTTTGGAGTTGGCGGTGTACCCTGTGGTTTATTCTCTAACACGTATCTAAATTGCCCACTCTCTAGGATTTGGACAAATTTGTAAGTGTCTGAGCTGTGATGAACTGTCAATCCAAAAGTATCCGTACCCCCATCTAATCTTTCCACCGCTTTTACAGGTCTCTATTGTTGGCTCCTTCTGCTGCGTTCCACTTTGCTTTATCTTCCCTCCCCTGTTCCATCTCAAGGCTGTAGCTCGCACCACATGGGAGCGAAGTACCGATATTGCCATCATTGTGTTTGGCGTTTGCTCGTAAGTATCTTTTATATCTGTGGGTGGGAGTGATGCAATCGCCTGTGGCTTCTTGGGCCGTTCGCTCCGTTTCACTAACAATTTCTGCACAGAATGGTCTTCACCACGGGTATCACCATCGCAGAATGGGGCTCAGCATCTCAAGGCTCCAATCCCATAGAAAGTTGCATTGCCCATGGAACCTAATTTTTCATAAACATTTACCCACCAGTACATTAATGATAGAACGAGAGTGTTTACGCTCCTATATTGTTACAACCAATAAATATCATCGATACCATCAACAACATACATGTGCTCTTTTCTATAGCCTATTGTATACTACTACTTCGTTTCAAGCTAACCCCTATCTATACACATCTTGAAAAAAAGGTTCCAGGCCACTAATGATCCATGCCACTACACAAATCCTTCATGTAGGCAAACTTTTCAGGGTTGCGTTGGCGCTGGGAGAACAGCGATACCTCTGATGTCTGGTTCATGTCGTCGCGCTGATAGTCGCATCGAAGCTCAGACTTGCCAGCGCGAATGCCGCAAATCAAGTTGGTACGGCAGGCTTGGTCGCATTCAGGTAGATCTGGAGAAGACTTGCTTCTGAAGTTGTAGTACTTTTCAAACATGCTGTCGCTTTCTTCAAAGGATTTGGTAACGTTATGCCACCATGCGGGGGACAGTGGTTCTTTGGGACCAAGTGAAGCTTCTGAAGATGAGTATGCTTCGCGAGCAGAGTATTCAAGATGCCAGTTCTGAAGAAAGGTCAGAGAGAATAAAACGTTAAGTCGATGGTTCACTCTCGCCAACAGCGTCTGCACTACTTACAGGTCCAGTTTCTTCCCAATCATCCACTTGATCCAAATCGGCAACATAGGTAAGGGAGTCCATAACCTCGAATGTCACAGCATCGATTTTGTAAACACTACAAGAACAGACACATGTTAGAAATACAAATGACTTATACGTCGCAAATTCAGTAGTTGGTCATACCGGAAACCAGGGTTCATCATGCTGAAGGGTGTCATGGAAGGAGCAAGGTAAGCTGTAGAGATAGCCTTGCCAGCTTTTTGTTTAGCGTTTTCATAAAAGATCTCGAGTTCGTCGCGATGTGTGTGACCGAAGAACTGGCCAGCAATGACGTGAGGAGCATAACGTTCGACAATTTGGTAATAGTAGTTGGAGTAATCATGAAGACACGTATTGTCACCAGGAGCAATATGGCCAATAATCCAAACCCGCTTTCCTTCATCTTCAGCCATTTGCAAATGATGGATCATCCATTGGAAAATACCGTTGGGGTCCTTTCACGAGACACAAAACGTTAGGTTTGACCGAATTGACATTGCTTCAATTTCCTCAAGCGCCACATACCTTTTCACCTCCACTTTCCATGTTCCACCAATTCAAAGTGTAGCAAAACATGGTGTTGAGTCCAATAATCACAAGCCCGTCCGTGGGATAGGCTACATAACTACCGCTGTTATGGACCAGTTCAAACGTCGCTTCAGTTTCTAGCCAGCCACTCCAGCTTTCCGACATGGTTTCGTATAACCACGTCAAATTCAAAAATTGTTTGTCGTCTCCCTTGGGAATCTGGGACACATTGTGGGGAAACAAGTTGGTGGGAGCGGCTTCGTGATTGCCGACCACTGGGTACAATTTGGCATCAATCAGGCCCGGGGTATCGAAATGAGCATGGAGGAGATCGTATGATAATGTTTCAATGCCTTGGGTCTTGTTGTAGGGAAGGGTAGACCATACTTCATGGGGTGGGACATCCCCAGTAAGTATAGCAAAGGCGTACTTATCAGTTACCGATGGGATATACTCGAGCATGGATTCCAGCAATGTGATTGGTGTATCGCAGGTATAGGCGCCTGATATGGAATACAACGTGATAAGTCTTCACATACCTTGGGAAGGTTGTTGACCAAAAGATGATCCACTTACCCCATATTGAAGCAGGCTGTGTGATGTTTTCGTAATTGGTGAATTCGGGACGGCAACATATTGGCTTATCGCAAGCAGCTTCCGCACCCATCTTTGAAAAAAGGTGGATTAGCTCATGCGCATTTATGTAGTAAGTGAGCTAGTTTCCTCCTCCATACTTACCTCGTAGAATGGATCCACGTGCCAATCACTGAGATGCAGAACTGTTATTTCTTGGCCACTAGGAGCTGGAGGCTGGGCATTCGCTGGCTTGGGCGATGGGAACGTGAGATTCCATTGGTCCACCACTAACAAAGTAACGTATGAACATCACCACAGACAGTCAATGACAGATGAACATGAAGGATGGAACTCACCAGGGTATGGACATGAATCGATGGTAGCTGCACAAAGGATATGACCATCTTTTCCAGAAACATTGATTGTCTACGAGATAGCTATCAGAGGGCCACTCGATCTTTCCATGCGATCATTACGCCACAATAGGTTCACTTACACGAAGAACATGTCTCAACACCGGACCTTGCTCCCTAATGGTTCCTTCACACTGTAAAGCAATGGTTTAGTGGCCGTTACACTGTTCCGGTACGGAGATAATTACACAGAAACATACCACTATGGGGTCAAATCCAGAACGTTTGCAGACACTGATTAATGTCGATAGGAAAAGGCTTTCAGAAATAATGGCAAGGTTCTTGACGACCTTGAGGAGGGAAATGCAACTGCTGCATGAGGCGACGAGGGATTCGGCCGCTAGCAGGTCAGTGGTGGCTTGCAAGACTGCGGCTTCTTGTGCAGTATTGAAGCTATTGACAGTGATATCAGGATTTTGTTGACGGAACAATGGTTCTGCTACGGAATGTTGAGCAGCCAAGGCTCCCAAGAGAAGCCATTTGAAGGAATGGGTGAGCATGGTAACTAGCAAGTGGACCTACAAAGTGCCTTTGGCTATCATTTGACATGGCACTCAGGTCATCGCTGGAACTCCGCTCGCCGTCCCAAAATCTTTGCTGTCGAGCCATTACCACTGCATGTGCTACATGTGCCTCCTACTCCCATGGATACTGGTAGTAAGCTGCATCCATCTCATATGGAACGTTCTTATCTTGTGTATTCATAAAGATAGCGTGGATAACACTGCTGTAAGCCAGATACTCGTCACTATGAGACATGACGATACTTTATGCAAGCACAGACCACCTTTGATTGGGTGAAATCTTGGAGAATAGGGATCGATCTTGAGCCAGAAAGCGAAGGAGACGGGATGAAATATATAAAATGAATGAAATTGGTTTTTTTTTTTTGGATTGGATTGGATAGTCAACTGTCGTGATGCAAAGGCAAGCAAGCTGAGGCAATGAGGTTAAGTGACTGTCGAAGGAACAGTAGAGAGAAAAAAGTTTTCCAAGCTTCTTGGCCTCTGCAAGATGGAAGTGCACTGCAAAAGAACCTCATATTTGCCAATCCAGTGCGATCGATGAGAATATGAAACATCGTACCCCGAAGTAGAGCATGCAAAAAAAAAAAAAAATAGAGACCACAGCAGAGATTAAGCATAAACATGCAATACTCCACATATCCATGCTGAATGGACAGTGGTTGGTTAGAAGCGCGCTCGATTCAATATTCTGACACCAATAGCAGCGGCCAGCGCCACACCGCCCTGGTTGGCCATGGCGGTCGAAACAACAACTGGCGCAGGTTTGTTGCATACTTCTGCAAACAGAACGACGACTAGGATTGGTTTATGAAAGAAACTCCCTTCTCCACGTTGTCCATTATGTCCCGCTACAAGGAAAACGGGATGGTACCAAGAAAATCGGATTAAAACCAAAAATTTTATTCGTTATGTTCCGATTATTACTTTATTAACATTGTGTTCAAAAGGTAGCAGAAAAACATTGGGGCGATCACGTTTATTGACAGATCCTTCCTGCACCACCCGATAACATTGTATGGTCATGTGAAAATAAAATCCTTCTTTTAACTACTTCCTTCTGCGTATGTCTACCTCGCATGGCCTTACCTTCTGCACAAAAGGTTGGTCTTAGGCATGGTTGCCACGGATCATACTTGGTTGGTGGGCTGAGTAGGTATCGGAAGGAGCCATTATCTCAGCCATCCAAGCATTGTGCGGAGTACCAGGCGAGTTAAAGTAGTTATTGTCAACGAGCGAGACGTACACATAACGCACATATGATTAAATCAAACTATGCTATCATCAAGGCGTAAGTCATGTCACCAAGATGTACAAACCACTATGCTGAATTTACTCTAATGGCCGCGACGTCATGTTTGAACCTATCCGCTGACTCTCAAAGCTGCCAAATAAATTCAGAAAATCATTGGCTGTTAAAAATCGCTCAGTTTATTGAGCCCGCTTCAAAGGTCCATATTAGGAAAAATCAGTACATAACGATCCGCAAGGCTTATTTTACTTAAACTTCCAACCTTAAAGCGATGGAGAACAGATGAACTACAATATGTAGGAAGACAAGATAACCGCTTGAGGTACAGAGAATGGAAGAAGGGTTACAACTAAGGAGTACTGGGTTCTCGACCTGGGACGGCCAGCCACCAAAAGTAAACGCAGCCCGATTCAAACTCGGGTTGAGGCATTTTTTCTAGCCACTTAATCTAAACCAATGCGCTTCCAGATCTACCAATAAGAAAAAAAGCATCCAACATAACGGACCATATGGCCCAACTTTTCCTTTTCTATCGATGCGGTAGTGATGAAGACGCGGGGATGGCATTTGTGCTTAACGTTGAAAGAAATGGAATGGGAATACGAGATTCTGTCAGCATATTCAACATTTTTTCCCAGCCAAGAATTGGTAATAGGAACGGGTTGGCATAATTCGATTTAGCTGCAGCCAAGTAATCAACGTCACGGGCAAATCAGACCCAAATCAAACAAAAAATTCGCCCTCCTTTTTTTCAAAGTAACCATCCACGCCACTTATATAAAAAGACACACTTCACCTCTTCTCTTTTCTTCTCGTTTCGTTCATTTATCCTCCAATGTCTGATCCGTCACCGAACGAGAAACCGGCTGTCGATGCCATCGAAGATGTTTCTACTCCGGCCGATAATGAGAAGCAGCAAGGAGGAAAGATTACTTTCCAACCTACTGTCAAGCCTGAACGTGTGGTAAAGCCTACACCTACGGAGCAACCTAGTAGACGTCCTTCTATTGCTGCCGTACCTCAGCCTGCCAAGAAGGAGTCCAAGAATGTGGACATTGTAAGTGATCTATGGAGTGTAGGTGGGGAATGAAAATAGACTCACTGACATGTTTTTAGACCGAACATATGATGACCCCAGAAGAATGTGCCAAAAAATACGATACAGATATCAATATGACCAAGCCTGGCGAGTCCAAGGGTTTGACCAGTGCCGCTGCTGCTGCTGTTCTTGCAGAGACTGGACCCAATGTTCTTTCACCTCCTAAAAAGAGACATCCTATCCTCAAGTATCTCGATTCCTTGACCAGTTTGTTCAACTTGCTTTTGATTTTGGCTGGTGTCTTGGAATATGTTCTCTTGGGTATCGATTTCAAGGGCAATTTCCAAAACGTAAGTACCAATGGATAGATAGATTCAGTTCAACCTCCCTGTCTCCCATTGCTTTTTTTTATATGTCAAACACCTCCTCTTTCTCCTGAATTAACCTTTGCCTTGCTTGTCTCTAGACTTACCTTGGTGCCATTCTTATTGCTGTGGCGTTCCTCAATGCCTTCATTGAATTCTATCAACAACAGAAATCACAAGCTCTTCTCGAATCCTTCTTGAACTTGATCCCCACCAAGTGTATGGCCATTCGTGATGGCAAACTTCAACAATTCAATGCTGCCGAACTCGTGGTGGGTGATGTTGTGTTCATCAGAATGGGTGACAAGACTCCGGCCGATTTGTACATTTTCCAAGCCAGCGAACTGAAGGCTGATAACTCCTCCTTGACTGGTGAATCGGACCCTCAGGAACGTACTCCCCATAATGAACATAAGAACCCCTTGGAAGCCACCAATCTCATGTACAACGGTACCTTGGCTGTTTCTGGCGAAGGCTATGGAATGGTCGTCCGCACGGGTGATAATACTGTTTTGGGTCAAATTGCCGGTATGACTTCGGGTGAAGACAAGTCAAATTCACCATTGTCCGTGGAAATCGATAACTTTGTCAAGATTATCGCTGCCATCGCCTTGATCACCGCTCTTATTTTCTTTGGTATCAGTTTCCCTGTCAACAACAACAATATCTCTCTCTCTCTTAACTTTGCCATTGGTGTGTTTGTGGCTTGGGTCCCTGAAGGTCTACCTGCTACCGTCACCATTCTGTTGACCATCGCCGCTAAGCGTATGGCAGCACGCAATGTTTTGGTCAAGGATTTGCAAGGTGTTGAAACCCTCGGCGCCATTACCCTTTTGGCTACGGACAAGACCGGTACCCTTACCCGTAATCAAATGACCGTCACCTATATCTGGTCTTGCCTTAACATGTACTCAGCCTTCCGTAATATGGGCAATGAAGACAATGTCGTCACCAACGATTCGCCTGGTGTGGCCGAAATCATGCATATCTCCACTCTCAACTCTCGTGCCAAGTTCGATCGTACCGATGTGCCCGTCACCGAACGTCAAATCCTGGGTGATGCTACGGAAACCGGTCTCATTCGTTTTGCTGGTCAAAGCTTGCCTGATTTCGATCAATTGCCTGACATGTACCCCAAGGTGTTTGAAATTCCTTTCAACTCGGATAACAAATGGGCCATGACCATTCACCAAAAGAAGCATGCCGATGGTTCGCTTACTTTGTTCCTCAAGGGTGCTCCCGAACGTGTTCTTCGCATCTGTAACCGAATCATGATTGGTCCCAAGGGCGAAAGCACTGAGCTGACCGATGACCATAACCTCCAATTCCAACAAGCTTATGAGATGATGGCCAGCAAGGGTCATCGTGTCCTTGCTTTTGCTCAAATGCTCCTTCCCGAATCCCAATATCCTGCTGACTTCCACTTTGACAAGAAAGAAAAGAACTATCCCACCGATGGCTTTACCTTTGTTGGTCTTGCTTCTCTTGAAGATCCTCCCAAGCACGGTGTCCGTGAAGCTATTGGTAAATGCCGTTCTGCTGGTATCAAGATTATGATGGTGACTGGTGATCATCCTTTGACTGCCGAAGCCATTGGCCGTAAGATCAACTTGGTTCTCTCCGATACAAAGGAAATGGTGGCTAAACGTACTGGACGTCCTGTTGAGGAAATCGGTGAAGACGAATATAAAGCCGTTGTCATTCATGGTGAACGTATTGACAGCTTGACAGACGAGGAATGGGATAACATTTTCATGAAGAGTGAAATTATCTTTGCTCGTACTTCTCCCAAGCACAAGTTGGAAATTGTCAAGCGTGCTCAATCCATGGGCCATATTGTTGGTGTCACTGGTAAGAACCAAAAAAATATATATATACATATATTTGCGTCAATGTGTGTCAGTATAGCCCAATGATTAACCTATTTTTATTTTATTTTCTAGGCGATGGTGTGAATGATTCCCCTGCTTTGAAAAAGGCCGATCTTGGTATTGCTATGAACATTTCTGGTTCTGATGTCTCAAAGGAAGCCGCCTCTATGATTCTCTTGGATGACAACTTCGCCTCTGTTGTTCATGGTATCGAAGAAGGTCGTCTTATCTTTGCTAACCTCAAGAAATCCATCCAGTACACTATCACCCACTCTATGCCTGAAGTCATCCCCAACTTGTTGTACGTTATCGTCCCTCTCCCTCTTCCTCTCTCTGCCATCTTGATTTTGGTCATCGATCTTGGTTTCGAATTGTTCGCTGCCTTGACTTATGCCTGGGACAAGCCGGAAACTACAGAAGGTTTGATGAAGATGCAACCCCGTAAGCCCGTTACTCCTGAGTCCATCGACCGTTTCCGTGCCCGTGCCCACCGTAGAGCCCATCCTATCGATCCTGAATCAGGTGAAGCTATTGTACCTGGTCGTTTGTCTCGATGGGGAAGAAACATTGTGGCTCCTTTCACCAAGATCTTCTGGCAAGAGAAGTTCGAAAAGTCCGATGATGAGATTCTGGTCGATTTCCCATTGCTTTCTTGGGCTTATTTGGAAATTGGTATCATTGAATCCATTGGTGCTTTGCTTACCTTCTTTGTTGTCCTCTGGTATAATGGTATTACTCCTTACGATGCTCGCCTCATGCAAAAGGGCAATGGTTCCCCTACCTATTACTTCCAAAATGATGGCAACTACGCTCAACCTTACACTACCCAACGTGGCATCACGATGGATGCTTCTCAGCAACACGAAGCTCTCGCTCAAGCCCAATCCATGGTTTACTTTGGTATCATGATTATGCAAATGTTCAATTTGTTTGCATGCAAGACTCGGTACGTTGATATATTACGATGTTTTATTTGGTCACAGTACATGTTAAAACTAACTTTTTCTGCGCTTTTAGATTCACTCTACCCCTCCCATTCAGCTTATATGCTTTCAGCAACTTGAAGACCTTCATGGGTATCTTTGGAGGTGCTGCTTTGGGTGTCTTGATTGTATACTGCCCACCCTTCAACATTCCATTCGGTACCAGCTGGCACACTTCTCCACTCTGGTGGTTGATTCCCTTCGGTTTCGGTTGGGTTATCCTTGCTTATGCCAGCATTCGCATGGTCATTATGCGCAAAGCAAGCCCTATCGCTTGGAATCCCGAGATCTCCGGACTTCAGATGTACCCTACTATCCGCAGTTTCGATCGTAGCAAGAGCATTAACCAATAGACAAAAGCAAACCGTCCAGACATGCTTCACCCTCATACCCCACCCTCCATCTCTTCATGTTTCTTTTTGACTGAAACACTGTAATAGTTACATATATTTCTCGCTCTCTCACTTTTACAAAAATCTGTGTGTAAATCATATCAACCTTTTTATAAATCGGTTCCCATTTCATTTCAGGTCATCCGCCCGCCGAATGATGAAAGAAAATAAACCCAATTTAATACTTTTTTGCCATTTCAGTTGACTGTACTACATTAGCCGATTCATTTCAATCGCCTGCATTAAATTGGCTTGAAGCCTGTTTCTCTACCCTTTAACCATTATGTACATCAACACCCTCTTCGTCTTATCGCTAGCAGCCGTTGGTGCGCTTGCAGCAACCTCGGGTGAGATGATGGTAGAGTCATTCAGGCCAGAGCATATTGGATCTGTATTAACATAACCCTCTTGGCATAGCGTCCGAAGCGGCCACCAAGACCACCTCAGCCACCCCTTCTCATGTCTCGGGTGTCCCTATTGCAATCAGTATGTGTGTTGTTGTGTGCTGATCCATTCGCTCCGAGTCACTTGTTAATCTTACATTTTGGACATAGCTCCAGCCGGTCTACCCGACTGTACCAGCACTGCTGCCCGTCATGCTTGTCCCGGCATTGCATTCATGTGGTATGTATTTTTTTGCCGCTCTGATTAAATACTTTAGCTTATGATCGCAACCCATGTCGCCCCTTAAGTTCCTTGAATTAAGAATTCGCCACCCCACTTTTTTAGCCCTGACTCTTGCCCAGATGTTTGCTACATGAGCAGTAAGTGTTCTCTTATCATTCTGCCGCCGATCAATACTTAGAATCTCGTGTACTAACCACCACCACTTCTATTAATAGTCACCAATGCTTGCTGCCCAGGGTGAGTAAAACATGGCCAGACTTGTAGTCGCGGCTCCAACGTTAAGGCTACGCTATTTTATTTCTCACAACGTATATTGCGAACGAACCAATGCACGAACATAACACGACGGTGTCTGCAAGCACACCTCTTATGTTCCATATATGCGCACCTTAGATCTTCAAATTACCAGATGTATCCCACCCAGTCACAACTAACGCGATATTAAATTTTCCTAGAGCTGGCAACATCGTTTGTGACAAGAGCCAAATCTCCAATTCAACAGTTTCAGGCGCCTCCTCCAGTGCATCCATGCAACCTACAGCAGCTGTCAGCAGCGGCATGGTAAGCGCTATGCCATCTGGTAGCGGTTTCGCCTCTGCCGCTCCCTCAGCTCAAGCATCCCAGCAAAGTGGCTCGGATCGAATGTTCGAAACTGCAGCTGTTCTGGCTACCGGCTTGGGAGCCTTGACCATGGTCATGACCAACTTGTAAACCAACTCATGAAGATATCTTTACGTGAAATACCCAACCATTTTGAAAATTATGGCTTGCTCATTCGTTCGGAACAGCCAGTCATCAATAAAGTACTATCACCGATTGGATGAATGGTATATGAAATATAAAATGACCCATCCTAGGCAAATGCGCCACCCCAAACGTTGTACGTGATGAAAGGCATCTAAATTATCAAAAGTGATCTTATGGACTGTTGGGGTCATGCTGCCAACAAAAATGACTCTAAAGTCATTTCCTTCATTCACTCGCTGCTTTGGTTTTTTTAATGGCTACCAGGGACTATGGTACACATCGACATAATGTTGAAAACATGTCTTGCTGAGAGGAAACTTGGAGTCCTCACAACAATGGGAAGGTAGACTATAAGGGCCCTAAACTAGATCTGGGAAGCTATCTCAGACATGTGAAAACCCAATCGTACTGTCGAAGCTATGCCAACTTGTTCTTAAATTACGACACATCGACGGGCCTTACAAGCTCTTTCTCTCCTTACCGTTTTCTTCTTCTTCTTCACCATCCAATGCATTCTCCAAGCAAACAAAGTAAAAAGAGCCATCAGAGTACGACACGAGCACATGATTTTGCAGGCTCGTCCATGACAGCCGTACAACAGCGTAAGTGTTCCATTAATGGGAGAAACCAGAAACAGTCCAATTTCCCAATTTCCTTGACAAATCGCAAATGGGATTTTTTGGGAAACCATAGTGCTTAATTACAGGCAGCGCTTTAAAGCGGGGTTCTCATTTCTTTCTTTTTCTTCTTTGCTTGGCTATCATGATGCTAATGAACGATTGCCTCCTCGTTTCAACTGAAGTCTCGCCTACTCCTGTGCTATTGTCATCGCCCTTTGCCACCGCCAGCAGCTTCTTGGCCCAAAACCAAACCCTTCAATTGCTACCTGTCAGCGAGTCACAAACCATCCATTCAGGACGACGACGAAGCAACGCTTCCTCATCGTCTGAACCTGCCGAACGCAAAAAACCCTTCAAACGCACTTCACCGTACGCTCGGTCCTCCAAAGAAGAACGACGTGAAGTCCGAGAATTATCACCTCGCGGCAGGAACAAGAAAGCTCCCCATGAACTATTAACCGAAGCTGAAAAGAAAGCCAACCACATTGCTTCAGAGCAGAAGCGCCGGCAAAACATTCGAGTGGGGTTTGATCAATTAGTGGACATTGTACCGACTTTAAGTCAGAACCATCGAAGTGAAGCCATGATCCTTCAGAAATGTAAGAATCTGGGGAACTGATCGGAGGGAAGTGGATGGGCGAAAATTGACGTGAGAATATTTTTTTGGTTATAGCGGTAGAATATATTCGGCAGCTGGTCAATATCAAGAATGACCTGAAAACAAGAGCGAGGGATTTGCACTCTGCTTTAGGAGAACCGTAAGTTTTCTTTACCTTGATCATTCTATTACTTTAATCGGTCTCATGCTCAGATCTTGTGTTACTTTTTTTCTGTTTTTTTAATAGACCCGTGGATGAGGATGACTCCTCTGAAGGAGAAATGGATTATAATTTTTAACGACATCACGCCCAAGCAAAAATGTATAGATGATTTGCAGGAAAGCCAACAATGTGAAAGCTGGGCTCCCCCTTCTTGGCTCTTTTTTTTTTTTCTGGGTAGACAAGGCTGTCGTTTTCTAATACGAAATGCTACTTTTTGGGTTACAGCTGAACTTGACGTCAACCGACCCTCTACCTGTTTTAACTCTCTTAGAATTCGTTTTTACCAACGATAAATCCCATTATAATTGTACAGCTATTTTCTCTATTTTGACACTATTATATATCGTTTATTTTTCCCTATCTCGATGACTTTTGGAGGGTTTGAACACAGATCGACGACAAGGTTAAGTTGGCAATGCATCTCCGCCTGGAACTTAATACTTGCGGAGAGATGGCGCTCGCACGAATTAGAACTGGTGTTGCCATGGCTTACAGAGCTTGACCTCAGTCTTCTGGAGGGAAACCAGTAACGAAGTTTCTCACCCTCATAACAGATGTGTAAACCATATATTTCATTTAAATCATGACGGTCTGCGACAGTGTAACGATGAAGCAAGCCAGTCTGCCCGACCGCCCGCCTTGTCCGAGAGAACCATGTGAGCGACTTGGACCATTCCATAAATGGCAGTCTCGTGGTAATTTCTTGGGGAATCCCTTCTCTTGTCATGAGCTCCAGTAGTAAGCGAGCTCGATTACGGTATGCGGAATCGACAAGAGACGCCACGCATGTCCCAGACACATACCATCTGCGACGAAAGGAAGTCCAGAAAGTAACAGACAGAATTGAGAATGACCCCACGGAGGAATTCGACGATGTACCGGACGAAGCACCGGGGAATGCCGCCATGGAAGAGGCATTCGATACCTACAATGCCCTTCGGTACTTTATTTACAATGCTTCACTCGCCTCCTCCAAAACCAGTGTTCCTCGAATATGCTTTTTACACCAGCTGTACAGCATCTTGCCCGACAATACTGCGGTTGATCGAGAATTGGTAAGTCCGAAGGAGTAGGGCCCTGTAGGACAACTCTGAGTACTAAAACCGGAGTTGTTAGAACATCTTGGTACAAAGCATGGTGGTTCGCAAGTTCCGCGTTGGAGGCACCCTGGAGGATGAGCTTGTGATTATGTTCATGGAAGATTATTTATTGCAAATTGATGCCGCAAAGGCTGAATTCGAAAAAGATGTGTCCTCCGGTGACGCTGGAGCCAAAACAAAATCCATTGGCCCTCAAGTATTTGGTAAGTTTGTATGGCTGGCATTCACAAGTAGGGTGGCTACATTGCTCTCACACCTTGTTCCTCTCGGGTTTTTTAGATACGTTCCGTGATGCAGTCACTAACCCAAAGTTCACGGATGTGGTGATCTCGCGAAAAGCTTTAACCAAGACGGTAGGCTTTACTGAAACGGAAATCAGGTAAGTCCCTCCCTATGATTAGAGGCAACGGACAGTGCACATCCCAACGCCTTTCATACCCTAGTCAGTTGGTCATGTATGGGTTGCTGGTTATCCACTCTCAGGACGCCTACTTGTTCGCCATACGTGGAGCGGGCACGTTCATGACTCCGTTCATCAAGGGTCGAGTAGAGATTCTTCGGACATTGAAACGTCGTCAAACAAGGGATATTCTTGAAAAGGTGAAGTGCTATTGTGAATGAGTTTTCGCGCTTTTCACCTAATATTGACATTCTCCTGGTGAGCAGCAATGGCGAACCAAAAAACTAAGAAACTCTATATTCACCCACGACTTTCATTTGCACGATTTGCTCGGCAGTGGTCGTGTAGAAAGGTACAGTTGTATATTCCGTATTAGGGCATGGTTACCAAAAGACTAATGGTCGCGTGGCATAGACAAAAGACAACAATGGGAGATCTAATTAAACTTACAAAAAAGGGGGAGGCGTGTATATAACGAGCACTCTAATGTGTGTAAAAAGATTCGAGGGTATGAGGGAGAGGGCAAAATGTACAATAAACACAAGAAACACTACAATGGGGTGACTTATGAATGGGCTGAAGGATGGAAGAAAGGATGATCGAGAGCTTCTTCAGCGGAGATGCGTCGGCTGCAATCCAGCACCAGACACTTTTCAAGCAAATCCACGGCGTCGCGGACGTTTTGCTCTCCCCACGCTTCTGCTTTTTGCTTGTTCAACGCCATGCACAGTTTTATAAACGAGAGTCGAGTTTTGGGAATGGTTGTGACATTAGTATGAAATGTTCGATCTAATGGATGGCATGAAATTAGGGGTTCCGGTCTTTTAAGGGCAAACACACCATGAGCACTTACTATGTAGAGATGCGCATTCCTTCATTTCCTTCAGTCCAAAGATCGTCGCTATCTCAATCAATGCATCCGCATCGTCCTCTGATTGGAAGAACGGAAACCGTGCCGTCAGGATGGAGATGAGAATGACTCCCACAGCCCACACATCGATTGCAACCGTTTGATGGACCACACGCAGCAACACTTCGGGGGCGCGAAAGCCTCTCGTGCCGGCTCGGTTCGCTCGAACAGGGTTTCTGTCAGATTTTGTTAGTTAAAGGTAATGATTGTGTTGACAATGTAATTTGTCAATTCTGTTACCTAGAGTCGTTCTTGTAGTAACCAACTGGCGCAGGCTGAGGCTCTTTGAAGTGTGAAGATCGCATGTTTTCTTTTTCATTCATCAGCGAAAGAGGAACATTGCTTTGTCTTGATTTCAAGACTGAATGCGAAGGATTATGGTTTTGTCTATAGGAGAGTGTGGTAGGTGGTGGAGAACTGGGGCGGGTTTCATCTTCTCTCTTTGTAAAAAAAAAAAAAAAACATCGGTTATTGCCACGCATCGTACTAAGTCTACTGCAAAACGTATTCACCTACCTGTGCTAACCCGAAATCCACCAGCATTCCCGTTCGATACTTGTAGTTGAACAAAAAATTTCCTGGCTTTATATCGCGATGCAGAATGCGATTTTTATGAACATGCTTGAGCGCTGTAAATAAGCATCGGAAATAGCACCGTATGTCATCCATTTCCATGGATCTGTAAAACGCCTGGATAAAGCATTAGACGCTGTATGCAATGGTAAACAGCTGTATAGATTTGACACCTACCCGAAAGTCATCATGCGGGAGATATGGTAAAACCACCATGACTTGATCCATTTGCCGAAACGCTGTAATGAGAGGTACGACGCATTCGCTACCACTATTTATACAGCAATGGTGAGCATAAAATTGACTCCAGTAAATAAAACATCCCAACCGATTCACTGACCTTAATTGATGCAGTATCTCAATTTCACTCGTAATGCGTTCCGGACTGCTGGTAACGTAGATCCTTTTAAGCGCTACATAGTGCTTTTGAGGCTCCTGAGACTCAGTTTCGTGATGATCTAGAGCTTCTTCATCTTGACTCATAAATGATGAGGAGCTTTGATCAAGATTAATTCGTTCATAGTCGTTGCATATGGTGCTCAGATCCCAGTTTGAATTATCGTAATATTCATGTCGAACATCAACTGCTTTGTAGACAGAACTGAAGGTACCTTCGCCGATTTTGTCCACAAGTTGATAATAGCTACCAAGGGTGGTGAACTCATCCATAATTTCAGTAACCTCTTCTTTCAGCAATTCCTCTGACGATTTGGATTGCGGACCTTCCCTCTTCCGTTTTTGACTTCCGTCTTCTTTCACATTAGCCTGTTGTTTGTTGTTAGCATCTGTTGGCTTTGCCATGACTGTCCTAGCATACTCTTGTTCCGGCTCTAAACGTTCCTTCTCTCCGTCCTGCGTCTTTTCCACATCCAATGTACGGTGTTTTGTTTCATTGGTCATATGTGGCTCTTGATCTGCTGGTTGAGTATAGTCCGGTATATCTTCTTCCGTTGCCATGAGAGCTGTAGGTTGTTGTGAAGATGGCGTACCCGGGTTCGTGGCGGCAACTTTGTACACGGCAGGAGACCGTAGAGGAGCAGACGACTCCTGTAACGACATTTTAGGCAACTCTTTTATAACGATGGGTTTGCGTAGAGGACTGGTGAATTGAGAAGGATATCGCTTGACGGGTGAAGCACCTTCGACATGGTTCAAAGCCTTCAAGTGCATATTAAAACACGCATTTGAAAATGAGTCATGCATATCCGCTAGGGATTTGCCCTTGGATGGCGACCGGTGCTGAGGCGATCCATCCACGCGTTCAGCTGGTTTGTGTTGATCGGTTCGTCTCGGCGTTAATGGTCGAGTAGGGGTTAGTGGATTTCGACGTTGAGGCTTATTGGCAGCAGGCAATACAATGGGAATGCCTCGCTCGTTGACTGACGACTGGGGCTCATTGTAGGCTGCCATTGGAGGATTGGCAACACCGACTTTTTTAGAGATAAAAAAAAAAAAAAAGGAGGACGCGAACAGGTAATTTACCAGTCAGCGGCCAACATTTTTCGCGCGCGTCAGTCAGCTCGCTCAGCTCAGCTCAGCCAGCCCAGCGCGGATTTAGTCATGTCACTTACATTCAAAATCGTCTACGCTGCCGATCAATGGCTAGCCAAATCCATCTCGAAAAAAAGTCCAGTGAACATTGCCATTCTGGATTCCTCATTCAACCCACCCACACTAGCGCATAAAGAATTACTTTTGCGAACAGCTGCAGAGTGCCCGGCAGACGCATACCTTCTACTATTTTCTATCAAAAATGCCGACAAGCAATTGATAGGGGCAACGGCTGAACAGCGTTTAGAGATGATGAAATTATTGGCAGAAACAATTAACGAACAATACCCGACATGCAATGTAGCAGTTGCTGTGACTGAACACGCTCGATTTTTTGAAAAGGCAAATGAAATTCATGCATGGTACGAGTCACAGTATCCAGGCCAAGCGGCACAATTAGCCTTCATCATGGGATACGATACTGTCATTCGACTAGTGGATCAAAAGTACTACGATCAGCCAGTAGGAGAAGCACTCGAGCCATTCTTCTCCAACAATCAGGTCATCTGTGCGGATAGGGGAGGGCATTCCAGTGAAGACGTGGAGGGTTTCTGGACGAACAACGCTCTCGTCAGCAAGTTCCAAAATAGCATGAAAAGAATTCATCTGGACGATGCTACTGCGGATATTTCAAGCTCAAAGGTGCGAGAGCAAATATACCATAATCAAGAGATTAAACACTTAGTAGATGATAGAATTTACCAATATGTGATCAACAACCAACTGTACTCGGGTGTGCATTCCACGCTACTGCCGTAAGCTGCGCTCATTGGGTCAGCCACGGTTACCCATGGGGACGTTCTATACCTTTATATAGCACACAACTCCCGAAACTACTCTTGTTATTTGTCCACTTTAACGATTATCAGAATTCCTTTGCTCCCTTTACGTTTTTTGGATCTCTCTTTATTTTTTCATACATTTTATTTTTCCAACCTGTGACAACCTCTTTTTTTATTTTGGGGAAATTTTGACGTCAAGGGAAAAAAACACCTCTACTTCGCCTCTCCTTTCCCTTCTTCTTTATGAAAGCTGTAGGGGGCACTTTCTCCGGCGTCCCTGTTACCACTTCGTCATCGCAGAAGATGCCGAAACCTTCCTCCAATCGGTTTTTTGTGTTCCATTACATTCTTGTACTCTACCGCTGGATTTGCAGCATGTTTCAGAGTAACTCCGGGCCCATGAAGCTTACGCATGTTATAGACGAACAGCCCGATGTCAAGCACGATGAGGCTAAGACTACGGGTATTAAACCAGATGCACAAGATTACGATACCTCATTACGACATCGAATGGGATCCGCAATGTCATTTAATGACCCTCCATTAGCTCGCTCCATACCTCGAACCATATCATTATCATCCATACCTCAGAACTTTAACACCTCTTCTACACAAATACACAAGTCTGCTAGCAAGCAACGAGGTTTATCGCGGTTAGCCGATGAGACCTTATCCCCACCACCATCATTATCCCCACCACCCTCTCCTCCTACTACTAGACAAGCCGCACCTTCACCAAAGGGAGAACGAGCATCGACCCCTTCGATACCACACCCACTGCCGCTATCCTATTATCGGTCCAAAACCCTAGTGCTGGATTTGGACGAAACATTAATACACTCAACATCAAGAGGAAATGGCGTACCTGGTGCTTCAGGGAGAGCTCATGTTATTGAGGTGGTGGTGGACAAGCATGCTTGTTTGTACTATGTATACAAACGACCGCATGTTGATTATTTTTTACGAAAGGTGAGTGGTGGGTTTGCTTGCTTGTGTGTGCCGGCCCTTGCTTATATTGCCCTCTCCTTCAGGTGTCTGAGTGGTACAAAGTGGTGGTCTTTACGGCGTCCATGTCAGAATACGCCGACCCTGTAATTGACTGGCTGGACCAGGAAAACCGTTTGATATCCAAGCGATATTTTCGGCAAGTATGTAGTGAGCCTATTTTGTTGAAAGGAAAGCCTGCTGGAAACAAACGTGTACTCAACCCTTGCTCCCCCTGGTTTACCCTCTAGTCATGTACTTTAAGAGGTGGTAATTACCTGAAAGACCTTACTTTAGTGGAACCAGATTTGGCCAAGGTTTGCATAGTAGATAATTCCCCCATGGCCTATATCTTGAACTCCGGTATGTTATGTCTCCGCGAAATTTTAATGGAAACAAAATCTTACCCTTAAGTTGATTTAGAAAACGGCATACCAATAGAAGGTTGGATCAGTGAAGCTGGAGACGAAGCGTTGTTGTACCTCCTTCCCTTCCTTGACGCTCTTCGCTTCACCGAGGATGTACGAAGTGTTTTACGGCTACGAGGTGGCATCTCCACTCGAAGTTTCTGACTGCTTCTGCTTGGTGACTGCTTCTCATGTTCTGCTGGGTATATAAGGGCTGATGTTGCCGGCAGAAATTTTTTCTCTTGTACCAAAATTCGTGGAAATAAAAAAGTGTTGTATGTTGTTTTCAATGGACATATCAACGATTCCCTTCCACCAGAGCTCTATTGAACATTATTAGAACATAACCCCGCCTATCAATGTGGGACCGTGTGTCAATTTGTTCGCAAAGCCCTACCTTTTTACAATGTCAAAGTGCAATGAAAAAAAAATTGATAAACCCCCAATTCTTCGTATGTGGTAACTCATGCTGAAGAGGTATTTTCCATCTATACTGTGAAGGCTGATAGCATGTCGGTGTATTGAAGCATGTCTGTATGGATCTCAGGCTTTTTTGTATATCAAAGTGTGGTAAGAGGTGATGATAACAGTGATGAGAGACAGGTAGCAATGAAATAAAAAATTTTGGTACTGGCTGGACTGCGCTGCCTTTGCTAGCCGACTGACTGACTGTCCGCGATCTAAGAAAGCACTGAGATGGATCAACGATTGTATTGATAAGTACGAAATGCTCGGAATCTTCGAAATCCAGATCCACATCTACGATCTTTTAGTTTCCTGCCTTGACTCCCTACACTTTGCATCGTGATATTGTAACAACATAGCACACTTGACTACAGATAGGGTACCTCGACCAATAACCCAAGCAGCTATTCTAAAAGCATCCCAGAACGTTACATATACAATTTCCGTTTTGTGTAATATACACTTTACAATTCCATTACCAGCGTTCAGAAGAAGGCAGGCGTACAAGGTATCGACTAAGGCACAATGAATTTGGCACGTGCATCATGTGAGTGGTCGCTGTCAACTGTCAAAATAGGTGCACACTTTAATCGAAAGTCACTTCATGTCAATGAGAAGAGGCCACTTTTACAATAAAATCTTTTACAATAAGGTAACCATTAGACAGTGGTCCCGGCTGGCGGGAAAACACTGACGATTTTACGCTTTGAGCTTATTAACAACTGAATTCCCATTACATGACCGTTTTCTGTACACGAATCCATTCTGGTTCTTCTATTCTTCACAAGATATGCTGCTACTGTCAGATCTTTCTAATGATATAGACGAGACACTGATCATGCATCGATTATACATATCGATTTTAGAAATGTTTGGGGATTAGAAATGGTTGGGGTTACCGGGAAGAGCCTTTCAATTCACTTGGGACGTTGATGTGAAGCAGGCTCTAGCTTTGATGAGGTTGCTGACTGTTACCGCCAGTGCTGCACCTCACTGGATCAGCTACGTATTTTCTTTAAGGGCTTGATTGGCTCCAATGAAAGTTAATTCACCCTTCTCGCCTTATACCACGTGTGCTCTCGTGCGAATTAAGACGGCGCTGGTCAATAACTTGGAAACCTCGTCACAGGTTGTCCATTGTTCATGTTTCCACGAATTGGCCATTCCAGCCGCTTTGCCTGGAATCCACTGGCTTTAGGGCCCTATCGGCCAGCGATCTCACAGTTCTCAAAGCCATTTGCCCACCGCTTCCATGCCCCCTCTGCTCTGCATGCCCCGAAGATTGCCCCAAGATTGCGGCAGCGATTCCGGAGTGCAACTCAAGTGGTGGGAAAACCACTCACACCAGCTCAACGACGTATCCGTAACATTGGTATGGGTGCGTTGGGAATTGCTACGGCAACGTATGCTGTTGCAGTGGCATGGGATGCCGATTACCCTCTTTCCATGGCAGCCATAGGAGCGTTTCGAACCACAACCACATTTCTGACCGGGTGAGTGGGTGTGACAGTTTGCCTATGACTCAAACGGAAAAATCCTAACATTTTCTCGGTGGCAAGGTCTCTTTGCATGGCAGATTACAAGCTCCTGCATGCCCGGTACTACTTCACTGGTTATGACTCGGATGAGTACACGTCCGCCCGTAAGGTCGTCCATGCCAGGTCAGCGCAGCGATTGCTCTCGCTATGTCGGCTGCATGGAGGTATCTACATCAAGGCTGGACAGCATATTGCCTCATTGAATTTTGTTCTTCCCAATGAATATACCGAAACGCTTTCTGTGCTCCAAGACCGTGCGCCGTTCCACCCCTACGACGAAGTTGAGAAAACATTTTACGATGATTTCGGAAAGCGGATCTCTGAGGTGTTCAGCATGTTTGAAGAGCGGCCATTAGCAGCCGCTAGCATTGCTCAGGTACATAGGGCGCAAATCAAAGAAACCGGCGAACTGGTTGCGGTCAAGGTTCAGCATGCTGACGTCTCAAGGCTATTTGGTGTCGACATGTGGACGATGGAGTCCCTGACCAGCCTTGCTCACGAACTGTTTGGAAGTGACTTTGAGCTGACTTGGATTGTTGGGGAATTCAGGTAAGGTTACTTCAAGTTCGGTGAGGGAGTCTTATTCGTCCATAGGCTCGGTATAAGCTCACCTGTACACTCTAGGAAAAATGTTGAAACCGAATTTGATTTTCAAAATGAAGCCAAGAATGCCCAGGAGACCATGAATCGATTCCAACATAGGAAAAATGAGTTTCATGTTCCAAAAATATACTGGAATCTAACTAGAGAAAGGATCTTGACAATGGAATACATTGATGGAGTCAAAGTCAACGATGTAGAACGCTTGCGAGAGATAGGCGTGGATCCAAAATGGGTGGGCCGCATCCTACAAGATGTATTTGCTGAAATGTACGTATGCATATATAGTGTTGGATCAGGAGTCGCTTGATGTACTGATTTTTGAGCTACCTTTGTTTACTATAGGATATTCTGCCATGGCATTTTTCATTGTGATCCGGTGAGTACCTATGAAGGATGGTGGTGAAAAAAGATTCCCATATGCTAACTTGCTCTCCCTTGAACAGCATCCTGGTAATATGCTCGTCTACCGAGCTCCCGATACAAACCAAGCAAAGCTGGTGCTGCTAGATCATGGACTATACCGTAGCATACCAAACAATTATCGCCTTGCTTATTGTGAACTGTGGAGAGCTTTGCTAAGCGCTGATTATAACATGTTGCAGCGAGCTGCAACCAACCTCAATGTACCTCGTTTCGCAGACATGATGTCGATTTTATTCACTGGAAGGTTGATCACGCCTACTTCTTCGTCTGCGACAACCACCACATCGAACTTATCAAAGGAACTCACCAAAGAAGAACGGCGAGCAGCACACAAGGAATTGACGAAAGGGTACAATGTCAACGACGTTTTTTATTTCCTGGAAAATGTACCGCGCGAACTACTACTCATCTTCCGAGTGTCACATATGGTCAACAGTATACACAGACAACTAGGTGCATGGAAAGGAGAGCGGTTTGAAATATATGCCAAATACGCAACGCGAGGTTTCTGGTGTGAAACCCGGGACGAACTCCATATGCAATCGACGAGACGAACAGGATGGAAGAGTCGGTGGTACTTATTTGGAGGCGCTCCCAATTTGAAGAGGTCCCTCCAGTACTTGAGAGAAGTCATCGGCATGCGCATTCGTCTCCTGATCACTGAGACCGCGCTGTTATTGATAGAATGGTGGCGTGGTGGAGAATTAGAACTAGATATTGTAGATAAAGCCGTCGAGGATAAATTACAGACGGCTCCTAAATTCTAACTATAGAACGTGTAGACGATCATTTGATGGGAAACCGATGCCATTTATTTTGTAATTTCTGATGGTTTTGTACGCACACTTTATTTTTGTTACAAGTACTGAATAATACATTAATTTCTAATGGGTTTTGAGTGACCGGAGTGTTGCGTCTCAGGCAGACCATCAACGTATGTTCTACTACGCGAACATTGTTTCTCCCACGCCATTTTAGCTTCTGTACATTGAAGAAAAGCTAAAATTCAAGAAACATTTTGCCCAAAAGCGTTATGGTCTCCATAGGCTTTCTTTCTACATATAATAGAAGAAAAAGTGTCATGAATGCCAATACACATAAACCCCAAGCTCGTCTCTAGGGACTATAGTGGACCTTTCCAAAACATAAATGGCGTGCAAGTACTCCATGGTGTCGCAACTCCACACCTGCAAACATTCCGTTTTTCTTTGAAACTGTATTTATAAAACTATCGACACTCTCATGTCTTTCAATATGTACATTAGGCATCCTCCTTGATCTCTCCAGGGTCTGCGGTCAACTTAGTAGACACAGTAGGTGATTGTCTAATTGATGAGGATTGCAGTCTTTGCTCTGCCTCGAGGAGCATGGTTCGGAAGCTTTTCTCAGCATTAGGACTCAGCCCTAAATCAAGCGTGGCCTGACGTTGCTGGTACTTTGCGTAGTTCTGCTGGTTGATCTCTTCCTCTACCTTGATCATAAATGGTTCGAAATAGTGCGTCATTTGCACATCCTTTTTCTTGAGGTTGCACTTTTCATAGAAGGGCACGTTCTCAACTGTGCAGTTAAGAATCACCTTGTAGCATCCGATAGCACGTCCAACATATTGAAGCTGTTCAATAAGTCTATGGCAAAGGGGGAACGTAGGAGGCAAAGGGGACGAAACTTTGATAAGTCTATCGTGTCATGCCCTGCTCACTGTCAAACAATACCCTTACCTTTGACCAAGCTTTTTGCCGCGCTGTGAGTCGTGCACCACCACGTCTTCTATATGGCCAATCTGGCGGAAAAGGCAAAAATAAACAAGTGTTAATGAGACAGGTCCATATGTGGCTCCGCCGCCCATAAACAACATACTTACTTTGCCGCACTCATGAAGAAACTTATATTCAGCCAACAACGTAGCACATGCCACTATGAGACCACTCTTTTCGTCCTCCACCACCGTTGTAAAGTAGGTCTTGGTTGATTTGAGAAAGTCAAAGCGCTCTAAATAGCTCAGCCCATCAGAACAAGTCACAAACGTCTCCCAGGCAAAGTTGAATGGGGTTTACCTTCAAACTTTTCTCTAGTAATATCGCCTGTCACCGAAAGCTGAGACAATACCTCCAAGATTCCTACAGTGGTACCTCTGTCAGTTTTATGGAAAAATGAAGAAAAGATCAAGCAAGGGTGGGTCTACCTCTGTCATAATCGGATCTTTGCAGAGGACGCAAGAAGACGCCTTGAGGAAGCTTCTCTTGAACGTCTGAGGATATGAGTCTAGTAGAGAACAGAGGTTCTTCAGAGGCGATGGTCATTTTTTATGAAGAGAGAGAGAGAAAAAGTTATTGATAGCGTGGCTAAGTGAGAGCAACTAAATTTAACGCCTGCAGTTCCGCGGCTAGGGTCAGGGGCGAACACCAGCCAATCAATCCAGCGCAGATTGCCCATTGGCAGCAATCAGGCACAACCACAGGACCCTCACGCCTTCTTTCCATGGTTGCCAATATTATCCACCAATTGGTGTTGGTAACCACCGCCATTGTTGCTGGCTATGCTGTAAGAACCGCTGCCATGCCATCATGCAGCACATTAACCACGCTAATGCATCCTCTGTAGGCCATTGTCTTGTTCTTGAGCTTTCCAGCCCCGCAACGTTGGTATGTGCTCCTCCCCGTGCAGGCCTGCTTTATATGTAGTGGAAACGATTAACCGAGGTTTTCATTGTGTAGGGCTGTCTATCTCCATTGGATAAACTTTCCCTTCTTCACCGATTTTGATACACCCGAGTACTTTGGATTTGGCCGTATGTAGTCACTATGACGAGAACGCTGTACTCGGCATGCTCAATTGACCTTGCCCTTACTACAACAGATAACAAGGTTCGAAACATTCATATATCAGCAGAGGATGGAACCAGTATCGGAGCTTGGCACTTTTTGCCGTCGCATTACTACATGGGCCAACAACTTCGCTACCGGTCAAAAGACAGGATGCAGGATGCCATATATGACCTGGCTCTTGGTAACCCTGACTACGAAACCGTCATTTACTTCCATGGCAATGCTGGCAACAGAGCTGCTCCTTGGCGTGTAGACTTGTACAAGGTATGTGGATGGATTGGGGTCGTGGTATGATGTCACATGTGCTAATGCTTGGGTTACAGAAAATTGGGGATAAATTTCCCAACGTCAACGTTATCGCTATAGATTACCGAGGATTTGGAAATTCGGACGGTACACCTTCAGAAGAAGGCCTCCGTATGGATGCTAGAGCAACATGGGATTGGCTACGACAACGTGGAGGTAATTGAGATGGTTGTTGAGCCGGGATAGGATTGGGGCCCATTGATTAACACATGCGCCTGCTGGTAGTACCAAACGATAAAATCTCAATTATCGGTCATTCGCTCGGTAAGTTGCGTTTTGTGCTCATCAGGAGTGCTGTCGGCGTAATACTGATGGTGTACTATCTAGGAACGGGTATTGCCACGTCGCTTGCATATGAGCTATCGAGAAATGGTGAGACTTGTCGTGATTGAATGTAATGGAAAGGTATGCAAAGGGTTGGCCACTGATTACATCCTCTAATTAGGCAATCCTCCCAAGGCACTGATCTTGAAAGCAGCCTACAGCTCCCTTCCCACTCTTCTCTTCGAGTACCGTGCTCTCAAATACATCCCATTTTTTGCTCCCATCAAGCTATTTCCTCCCGTCCAAAGTAGGTGTGACCTAAAGGTCAAGGCTTTCATCTTCACATGTCACTGACAATGTTTTTCAAAACAGAATGGCTGAAGAGCAGAATGGTTCATCAATTTGATTCCTTGTCTAGAATTCAGGTAAGGTTTGCCAGAAAACAATGAGATGGGCCTGGCCGGCTAATGGTAGCCTCTCCTTCAGTACGTAGACTGTCCAATTCTTATCATTTACGGTGCTGTGGACTTTGAGATTCCTGGGCACAACTCTCAGAAATTATTCCATCGTGCTATTTATGGACTGGAAGCAGAGGTCCTTTACAGTGACGAATGGCTGGCCAACGACCCGAATATCAAAAACGTTACGATCCCCAACGAAGTTTCTGTGTACCAACATCACCGCAACCCTGATGTCAAACTTGCTGTACTCACCTATGCTCATCACAACAACGGTAAGTATTCCAGCACATCCCATTAAGCTGAATGGCCGTGGCCTAATGCATCTATCTCTTCCTGTAGTCGGCTACTTTGACTATGTGTTTGAGGCCATGGGACGCACCGCCAAGTGGGTATTGCCAGGCGAGGTTCCGTTAGTGGAAGTGTAGAGTGGAGGTTTCGTGCAAGCTTGTAATATTACTTCTTTGTACACTATTTAAATGCTTCATATTTATCTATCATCAGCAGCCGCGCTAACTGTGCATTGATGATATTCGATTATCTTTTTCAACTTCCTCTGTCTTTCTTTTGATAATAACAAGGCAAAACTACAGAAACAGAACAAAATGGAACGGAACGGAACAGAACGAATCAATAAACATCTACATGTATCATAACCGTTATAAACTTTTGTGAAGGGTTCAATAAGCAAAAAAAAACATGGCAAGACTTGGCACGGCTTATGGTGCCTTGATGGTTTGAGTCAGGGTAAAGATCATGGCACCCACACCTGCTGTGGCCAAGGTCAAGTCCATGATTTTCTGCCAGCGTTTATGAGCAGCCACTTTGTAATGGAACAAAGGTGGGAAGATCAAACTCAATGGCGAACTAGGAAGAGAGAGGGGTGAGCACACGATTCAATAACCAGCACGGGTCATCATACTATAACCTACCAGCAAACTGATCCGAGCAAACTGATAAACTTGTCTAGTTGCTGCGAAGCTGCCCAGGCGACCACAAGGGTCAAAAGCAATAAGGAAATGCGAAGGCCATTCTTGGCCCATTTGATCTTATTGTCGTGACGTCCGGTTTGATATCCAAACAGACCCTGCTCAATGATACGCACGGCGGGGAAGAAGGTGAGTGGGTTGGACAACAGCATGGCAATAGCATACATGATTTGAATGGTATGGGATATCCAGTTGTTGGGCAGGTTGAGCAAAGCTACGGTTTCGGTACGCGATCCGTTGGCAATATACCCCAAGCCTCCAATAAGAGTCAGCACGGTGGCAACGATAAACATTACAGTAACAAGGACCCTTGGGAAATGTTCGGGATGCTTCATAGCGTCACGAATGGGTATGATCAAGCCTGTGCAGAGTATGCCTCAGTGTTAGACAACATCCAATTCAACTGCAGAACCTCACTCCGTTTAAAACTTACCGATGCCTTCAAATGCATAGATAGCGGTACCAATGAACACTGCATAATCGTAGTGGTTGAATATCCACTCTACATTGGGACCCGGAGCTAACCATCGAGTATCTCCTTCCACCTTATTATTGTAAAGAAGGTCCATGACGTCGGAGCATACGAGGGTGATCAAACCCAAGACGATCAAAACATCGGCAATCACAGCTGCGAACGACAACTTTGCGATCTTACGAATCAACACCAGTGGAGCCATGATAACCGCCGAGATGACCAAAAACATGCCAGGTGAGATGTAAATATTTGGGTTGATATCATGGACAGCTTTGCTCAAGTTTTCGGCAATGAAGCTGGATGCACCGGCGACAAAACCAAGCTAGAGAAGCAAAGTGGTCATAATGAAAAGGATGTTAGTTTATGCCGATGTAATCAACGTGCATATACGTTAACATTTACCTGAGAGAGAGTGATAGACATCAAAACAGCAACACGCATCCATCTGCCGTAGGTTGCCTCGCCGATATCACCAAAACCTCCAACCACATAATCTTTGCACTTGATCAACAACAAGAACGAGATCAAACTAACAAATGCTACGACCCACAACATGATGGCTGAAAAAAGAACGCCTCCATTCATAAAGCTGAAAATGGGGCCAGATGGTGTTAGCTGTAGGAGCCCATATCATAAACTGAAAAAAAAAAAAAGCCTTTCGCTGACTTACGCCTTGGGGAGGAACAGGATACCCGAGCCAACAAACTAGTGGGATCAAATCAAACACGGTTAGATAGGCATGTTTCGATGTAGCATGACACGGCGTACTCACTGCTTTGAGAAGTAAGAAAAATGTCTTGGAAGTGGATGCCTTATCCTTGTCAGCCACAAAGGAGTGTTTGCGGCCAAGCAAAGGTGCTCTTTCCAAGGATGGGCGATGGATGGCAGCCTCTTCGTCTGTCTCTCCTTCATCTTCATCCACAAGATATTCACCAGCGAACGAATCATACATATTTCTGTACTGATTGACGGCAACAAACTCCAGGAAATGACGAGTGCGCTTGAGAGGGGGTGGAATAGGCGATGAAACCGCACCATAACGAGAACCCGTCGTACTCAAGACGTCTTCCTGCGGCAAGTCGATCTCGGTTTGGCGCTGCTGTTGATCTACGTAGTAACGACGGAACCCACCGGGACGACCTACATTATCTAAAACAGGGTCATCCAGTTGGCGGTCTTGCTCAACTTGCTCTTGCATATTGGTAGTGGACTTGGATCGAGTCAAAGGCTTTTGTGCGAGCTCGTTTGACATCTTGTAAATATCACTTGTGACATGAGCGCCTTGCAGGTGGTACGGAATGGGAGCTACTGTTTCAGGCGCTACCACTGGCTCTGTAGCACTCGTCGTGTTTGTATCATCGTGCTCTTCCACCACCAAGTGCTGCTGTAAAGCTTCCACCAACTTGTCCTCGGACACCTCAGGATGGTAGTCACTGGTCTGGCTAAGCTGCGGACTGGGTGCGGCGTCCGGGGAAAGTAGATGAGATGCATGGTTGAGAGCAGGAGGTTCTTGGGATGACGCACATGGCGTTGGTTCATCCTGGACCATGGGAGACGGTACAGCAATGGCAAGCTGTTCTGTTATACTTCCCGGCTGTGCCTCGGGCGGTGGAGCTGTCGGTTGTGGTGCTTGGCCAAGTTGCTTCTTAGCCTTCTTCTCAGCCTTCTTCTTTCGTTTACTATTGGTCATGGTATTTTAAACGGAGAACACCCTCGGCTAGAAAATTGTTAGCTGATGAACGTAGAGAAAAAAAAAAACCAGTCGAGCGACGATTTCTGTCAGTGAATTTATTTTCACTGTTTTTGGGATTCACTGAAATTTTTTTCATTTATTCTCTGGTTTAAAAAATAAAGAGGTAAACACACTCATGATGAGGAAATAATGATATTGAAAAATGCTGATGAATGGATGAGAGAATAGAAAAATAAAAAAAACTCATGGCCTTTTAATGTTTGTTGATAGAAGTAAGAGCCTTATGGGCTTCGGCCAATTGAGCTTCAAGGTTACGAACACGCTCCTCAAGCGAACGTTCCTTGGCTTCAAGGCCATTCTTTTCAGATTCCAGAACAGCAACACGGGTGTTGAGTTTGGAGTTGTCAGCTTCCAGCTCAGAAACTTGGGTTTCAAGGGTTTCCATCTTGACGAGCTTCTTCAGACGAGACCGTCTGGCAGCATCCGTATTCTTCTGACGCTTGAGAGCAATTTCATCGGGTTCATCTGAACCACTGCTGCTGCTTGAAGTGCTGTTGAGGCGATGATCGCGTGCACGTTTGCCGGTGTAGGAAGATAATCTCGAGGCATCAGGGATGACCACGGGACTCATCATAGGCCGTGGGGCAATAGGAGTCGGTGGCTTGGGAGCAATCAAAGCGGGCTTGGGGGCTATGCGAGGAGCGAGAGCCTTTTGCCTGGGAGGCATAACAGCAGCCGGCGCCATACCAATGTCGGGGAAAAGGGCGACAAAAGGGTCGTTGAAGGCAACCTCCATGACACTGTTAGCGCTGGATGGAGGAGTTGAGCCTTGAGAGCAATCCGAGACGGATTCATTGGTAGGACTAGCAGTCAGAGGGGAGGATACGAGGAATGGTGAGGTGACTTCTTCCTTAACAGGAGGGAGGAGGCCGGCTTGAGTCAGGTCATTGGCAAGCCAAGCATCGAGGAGAGAGTCAAAACTAGCAGATTTGCCAGTATCAGTAGGCATTCCACTAAAAAGGTCGGTGAACCCGAGAGGATTCGTCATGGCAATGATGGGGTGGTGTGTTGTATTATTCATGATGGATTTATGGATACGGTCGGGGTGGGAGCTGGAGCTGGGGTGGGTGGTAGACTTTGGATATATCTTGCTTTTTTTTGTTTAATTTAATCTGGATAATTATTGTTCAGTTTGTTTCTTTCGGGTGGTGGTTGATGGTGTATCGGTAGTATATGAGAAGAAAGGCATATTTGGATTGTTGAGACAGGACATAGAGAGATGTTGAGAGCTTTTCTGAGAGTACATAAGATAAGAGATACTGAGAGGAGACACGAGATTTAAACGATGACGATCATCTTGAGTTAGAATGAAGATAAAGTAGCAGGTGGGTTATAAAAGGTCAAACAAAAAATAATTAAAGAAGTGTGTTGAAGAAGAAAAGCAAAGGAAAACAATCCATGGGAAAATGATTTTATAGATCGGAGGTACCTTGATCTCTAAGCAAATCTTGATTGGCCGGTGTTCCGTAATCACTAAGCCACATCTCTCAATACACGCTTATTTCAATCGCCTCATCCTGGGAACCAAACTCTAAAACGTCATGGAATCATCATGTTGTCGAATTCAAAGCTTTTAAAGAAGCCCTGAAACCCGTTGATCTTCTTCTTATTACACAACCATGAACTCTCTACCATACGATGTTATTACCGATATATTCTGCCATATCAAAGACCCTTACCCACTCTCGCTGGTCAATCATCAATTCTATCAAATAACCCAAGACCCAGTTTGTATTGCCCGCCGCTTATTGGTACTTTATGGCAATTGCTTTGAATCACAGGTATTGGAGCCTGTGATGATGCCTTCGCCTAAAGTCACTCAAATTCTATTGGACAATGGATGCTCCCTCCCTCGACACTTTGTCCAGAAGCTGGAAAGCGGCTACTACCAGGGCATGCTTCACTGCTCCAAACAATCACTTGACATTATTGAACGTCAGGCCGTTGCACGCTTCGGGCCCCGCTTCGATTCGGCTGAAGACGAATCCCAATTGGTGTCTGCGCTGCTTGAAAGGATTGAGCAAACGCAAGATCGATATGAACTAGACCAACTTCACACTGAGCTTCATGACATAGTCTCCTCCACTGGTGAGTAGTCGCATTTTGAAAATTTCTACATTTGCTTAAGCTTCTTATCTGACTGTATCTATAGACTATGTGCCTGTCACCTTAGGCATCAAGGACAATGACCTTCTCTTGATCCTTCGGCTGATTATTCTAGCACCGGATGCCTTTGATATTATTCGCAAAAATGGATTCACGCTCAGGAACATTTCACGTACCCGAGATTTCGTGACACTGTTTACAAAAGTTGGTTGTTCTACCTATACCCAAAAATACACTGTCGATCAAGTCGCCCATGCACTGCAGGTCCTGTACGACACTTGCAATCTGGATATCCAACCCCACACCGTCAATGAGGTATTTGAAAAAATCATCTCACCGGAATACCTCAGTACCAATGCACCCAATGATCAGGAATCCGTACATACGCTCGTCATGAGCAAACTAGTACTGCCTTTTGACGTCAGCGCCATTGCCAGCAATATCATCTGCCGATGTCTGAGAGACAGTGGTTGTCTTACCTTGTATAAAACTTTTCCTTGTCCCGACCAATTTACTGAGGCTTTTCTGAAAGAATTTCCAACCCGAGACTGTCATACTGCAGCATGCTTGACCAGCCATTATTCCATCAAACTACTGGACATATTTAAATTCCCCCATCCTGTTACTCAGCGTAGCTTCGATATCATTGTACATAGGCTCGTTCTAGCTACATTTGGCAATGAATATCCACTCAAGCAAAAGCGATACCAAGGCTTCCGTCAACAGGTTACCAACAGCTCAGCCCCAATCGATAGAGAAAACCGCGCATTTCATTATTACCTAGATAATAGCTCTGCCCGCTTGACCAAGGATGCACTATGTTTTGATGGCCGTGAATATGAAGGCACAGTAGACGAAGAAAACAAGCGAGCTCTCAACATTTTATTTGACGCTATCCTCAAATACGGCGTCAGCCAATGGTCGGGTGAAGATTTGAGCGACTTGACAGACGGCAAAGCTGTCCTTGGTGCACTACTGGAGGAAGAGCGCATTGATTATGCCAAGCGGAACAGAAGACCCAGTGCTCAAGACGCCGCTGCTAATAAATGCCCACTCTCTACTTTCCATTCCACTCTTGAAGAATTCTACCAGAGTAGAATTCACGAAGAGCTGTAATTAATTTGTTACTATTAGTCCTTGTACTTAGCCCTTGTAAAAAAATAAATTATCAAAATGGTTTTTATATTCAAGTGAGGTCTGTTGGTAAAGCTGTTGCTGCAGGGCTTTCGCGATTCAGCAGTCATGTCACGTGCGTCAGTGGCTTGTCCTTGTAGATGGTATTGCTGAATTTCCCGGCCACTTTTAGACAGGCATTCGATTTTTTGTTTGCAGAAGGAATCAATCCAAATGTCCAGGCGACTGATTCAATTGGCCTCCAAGGGAGCGTCTCCTCTTTGCAACGTCCAACAATTTTACTCTGTTCGCTCATTTAGAACCTCTTCTTTGGCATTAGCCAAAGGTGCGTACCGTACCATGTGTCACTAATACCCTTTGCATGTCACTTTCAATAACACCGTCAACCTTTACTCTCCTCTCGACCATTTATTTCAAATAGCTGCTAAGCAACAACCAAAGGCAACAAAGAGCTTCAAGCAAAAGACAAAGACAACTGCTGAGGTCAGTATATTTTTTTCACGACTTTTGTAGTCGGTACCTGTAAGCTCACCTAAATTGTTTATAGTCGGCAGCTGCTGTCTCTGCTGCAGGAAAGAACAATGAATTGTTCTACAAATCTGCTCCTATCATCAACATGAATGAGTTCCTTCCAGAACTCATCACGGACGATGCTTTGAACAAAGTCTTTGCTCTTCCTGAAGATGTTACAACCAGCCTGGAGGTGTTCAAATACCCAAAGTTTCTTGAGAAAGAGGTAATGGTCATTTTTACTTGATGTGCCATCCCTGTTCCCATTCATAATGTTTTTTATATATTTCTTTTTCTTAGTTCAATCTGCTCAACAAAGCCTCCCTCGTCGCTCGCCAATCTTCCCTCGACTTGGTCAACAAAATCGATAATGCTACATCCGCATCTAGCGAATCAACACGAATCATATTGAGTAAGAGTCATTTTAATGCTCGTTGAACAATTGGAAAAGAGCACCGCTGATGGTTTTTTTTACTAATTCACAATAGCCGGTGAGCTTGGAAGTGGACGCAGTGCCGTTTTGCTTCAGGCTGTCAGCTTCGCCTTGAGCCGAAAGTGGCTTGTCATATACATCCCAACAGGTAAGAACAAATACTCATATTGGGGCATACTGAATGGACAGACCCCTAATCATTGCATTATAGCTTCTGTATACACCAATGGATCATCATCTTATGCACCTATCCAAGGCTCCAATCAGTTTGAACAACCTGCTTTGGCCTCCAGCCTTTTGCAAAAGATCAAAAACGTCAATGATCATATTTTGAAGGAGGTATGTCTTCTACTCATCGTAAACTGTATCGTTGAAAGCAACACACTCATAACCACTCTGCCTACAGATCCTTTTGACCAAGGATTATCACATTGATCGACACTCAGCCTTGAAGGGTACCTCATTGTCTAAGCTTTTAGATATTGGTATCAAGGATCAGTACACAGCACAAAAGGTGTTTGAGGTACTTTTAGAGGAGGCAGGCAACACTAGGTATGTAGTGAATGAATGGGTTTTCGCACACATGAGGTCTCATTTTCTCACACATTTAAACCAACAGCACGCCTACCCTTCTTGCTGTGGATGAAATCAACGCATTGTACACCAAGACCGCGTACCACGACACCGACTCTCAGGTTCTTGATGCCCACCGATTGCGTCTTCCACGCACCATCTTGGACTACTTTGCCGGCAACAAGCAATTCGTAAGTGACTGGGCTGACGAGCGCGTGAAATCCGACCCTGTTCCTAACCTCTCTCCTTGCGCGATCTACAGAAAGCTGGCGCTGTTGTTGGAGCCATGTCTGACCACCTCACAAACATCAAGAGCTTTGGCCTTGAAGTTGCATTGGGTTTGCAAGTCCCAGACGCCTATAGCCAACTCCCTACCGAGACGATAGCCTTGGCCAAGGGTGTTGAGAGATTGGACATTAAGCCTTACACTGACGCTGAGGCCAAGACTGTTCTTGACTACTACCACATGGCACAAGTGGTGTTTGAAGGTAAGCCTGACTCCATCCGAAATAATCAATGTAAACATTTTATTTATTTTATTTTGCTCCATTAGAACCATCCGAGATGCTGCTCAAGAAGAAAATGGTCACCAGCAACGGTAACCCACGAAAATTCTTCAACGCCTGTGTTAGAAACTTGTAGACAGACCATAGACCAAAAAATTTCCCCCAAACAAGACCCTTTCCTTAATCACAATAAAACAAAAACATCCATATGTAAAAACATTGAACGACGTCTCAAACCGGTGCGTGGGTTTATGCCAATGAATGAGAACAGTGAAATGATGAGTACTAGGGAGGGTATAACGTAAAATAGCTATTCTAAATATCTATCGCGCTGGTTTGGTAAACAAGCGCGAGAACCAACTGGGTTGATGCTCATGCTGGTATGGATCGGAGGCATTGTCAGTTTGAGACCAAGGACTATGCTGCATGTCAGGCACGCAGGTCTTGGATCGAATAGGAAGTACAAGAGGGTCAAAATTGGAAGCAGGAGGACGGTCAGGTACATTAGGCTGAGTGGCATGGGTGCGATCCTTGCTCGAGGTTGGAGTTGGGACGTCAGGCTGCGTTTCGCGATGCTTGCGCACGCAGTTCTCCCACACCTGTTGCAGTGCTTTCATGTAGGTCACCATCATATGATCTTCGATGCAGGTCCGTGTGATCAGCATCTCTTCTGAAAGCTGAGGTGACCCTTCGTGTAAGGTGTAGGTAATTTCGCTCTCCTCCGTGGGTGTCAACACGGAGAACAACATTGGCTCTGATTGGGTTTCCGATCGCTTTATGGGATGCGGTCGAACCGAAGGAAGGGGTGGTACAAGGGATGCGCCTGAAAACGACGTCGACGCGGCAGCCATGATGGGTCTAAAGTATTTGTGCGCTTTGACATGCGAGCGTCGAAATTCCCAAGTTCTGCCGGGTATATACAACTGAAAGCCAGACATAAAAGCTATTAGTATGTATATTCAATGGTGTTGTTATCTACCAAGGGAGTTGACACTTACCAGAGGGAATTCAGGCTTCTCGCTTTGATAGATTTGTTTTCGACACGTTTCAATGGCATCAAAACAAGCTTTTCTGGCATCGGCATTTTTGTTGACTTCATGCACTCCTCCTACAGCTTCAACAGCAGCAAGAGCATTCATGATCAGTTCCTTGAGTTCCATCGCAGTTCCATACGAAGTTCGCCCGACAATATCGTCTTGACATACAAAGCTATCGATGTATTCAGCATAAGCGTCGCTCAAGGCTTCCGTCACTGCCGCAACAGGTGCATAGCTGTAGCAATGAACCCGAAAGTCTGGATTTCCGGATAAATGCCGCAGCTCTTCAATGTGATCTACTACCATCATGGTGAGAAGACTGGCGCTACCGCCTCCCAGGGAATGGCCAGTGATGATAAAGGAATCAATTTGGCCAGCGTGATTATGTACATAGTGAAAAATTTGTGGTATAATGTTGGTGAAAAACCATTGTGCAGAAGCAAGCATGCCGGAATGCGCTAGTCCACCTTTCCATGGTCGATATTCACATACAAGATCAGTAATGCAGTCGTATAAGCTCCAAGTGCCTCGAATACCAAGAATAATCGCCCTTCTCGGCCGGTCAACGGATACAAAATAACTTGGTTGGAACACTGCTCCTTTTCGAACGCCATACTCGTAACCAAGAAGGTCTTGTGGTGGTATTCTGAGAAATTTGACAATGGCTTCGCGATTCGACTTGCTTCTCTGAACAGCTATATATTTCGAAAATGATGAGACATAGCTGTAAGGGTACAAACAGACATCCTGCAAATCGCTTACCTCGAAGGTATTTTCCGTATTCTCCTAAATAGTATAACCCTCTCCATCCCTAAAACCAACAAGGATGAGAAAAAAACCGCCATGGTGGAAAGACAACCGGGTAGCAAACTTACATAAGCGACAATGGCATGCTGGAAATAATGCCTAGCTTCCTCAATAAGATGAAGATCCTCTATAACAGGGGTAGGCGGTCGTCTTCATACAAATAATTAATTAAAACGAACTCCCTGCACTGCTTTGGTAAACAAAAATGACTTACACAGGGCGTTCAGCGTAAAACTTTTCCAGAATTGACATGGCGGTAAGGAGTTGGAAAGTAGTGACCTTGAAGCCTTGACCAAAAGCGGTGGCTAGTTTGAGGACACCACGAACTAAAGCTCGAGTTTCGGCGCTGACAACCAGTCCGATCATTTTATCAAACGTGGGGTGGGATACTGCGATTTCTTCAAAGGATTGATTCATCCAACGAAATGCAAACACCTTGTCGCCAAATCCAACACTTTGAATACTAATACCATCCGAGCTACTCGACTCTGTCGTGTCCGTGTCATTCCGCTTCGGTATTATATTTCGGCTTTTGTCTGTATCTCGTTGGGAAAATCCGTACATCAAACCATTGATAGCCGCCGGTATTGCTGTGGCGCTTTGGCCAGCCTGTTCTGTAGCTGACCACAACCAGCTTTTGGTCTGCTTTGGCGAGCGTAGCGTTGGGACGGGTGTCTCAGGGCTGTCTAATGCTGACTCTGAGGGTGATTCGGAAGGTGATTCAGAAGCTGTCTCGGACGGTGATTCGGGGGGTGTCTCTTCTTTTGAGGAAGCTTTGGCGTGATTCTCGAATGCTTTCTCGGGTACTGGTACATCTCGTAAAGCTGAGGATAAATTCTTGTTGAAATCTCGTTGTACAGCTTTATCTGTTTGAACTAGGTCGGGACGCCCATGTTGCGACGTTCTTTTAGAATAATCGATTAGGTGTTCTGGGCGAGTGGGCTGTGGTCCTCCACCAGGAATGACTTCTTCGGGTTCTTCAATGGGTGATTCGGGTTCTACGACCGTGCCATCGCTCTTATCGAATGCCATGTAGACTGGTGTGGTTTCGTCTGTCTCTTCCTTTGGATGTTGAAATATATATCGTACGCGCACATAAAGATTTCCATTCAAAATCCTATTATGCATGTATTGTTCAGGCGCAGCGTCTTCTGCCAGTTCGGTGGATACTTTTGACACCTGCAGGCGTTTAAAATTTTGTGGCACTTTTACATTGTTTGGTAATGTACGCCGAGCGTGGTACTCGTACAAAGGCAAAAACCTGTGGTATATACACTGTCAGTGATTATGTTGGCATAACAAACATGTGGGAATATGTGGCTGAAGCTTACGTCAAAAACATATCTGGTCTTCCATTCAACCTTGAAATCTTCAGTTTAGCTTTTGCAACGTGTTTTGATTTTTTACGGCCCCATTTCTTTGGCTGATCGTACAAGTCAAACTAAAAGCACTAATTAGGCGGAGTTTCAAATCTACTATGCTGTTACAAACCGACTCTTACCTCCAAGGTGTCAAATAACTGTGAATGGTAGGAAACGATGAAGACGAAGCCTTCGTTCCAATCGCCTGTTGGTGATTTACTACGATGTGAAAAGTAATGTTGAGCTCCTACTCGCAAACGCATCACCGGCCGCCTCACATGAACGTCCGTTCGCATATTTAGTAAGTCCACCTAAAAAAATGACATAAGTGACATGAATTCGATAGTGATGTCGACCGCCTGATACATACCTGTAGCTTTCCATAAGGTATTTCAACATCTCCTACACGCTCTCGTAGATCTACAGCTTTGTTCAGCTTATGCATATCGGGTATAGATAGCCTTCGCATGTGTCGAGGGCTTAGCGGGGTGGTGGAGATTTTTTTCATCATGCCATCGACAGAAGTCCTATCAGAGTCGTCGTTGACCAAAGTACTTGTCGTATCGTTTTCAAAGGAGTCTTCTCCGTTCCTCCCGCCTCTTCCAGGTATCGCGGAGAACATGGCAGACATTTTATAAGAATGGGAGATTTGCTTTATGAGGATTTGTATAAACGGGATGTGACGGTGAGTTGTGTTTCAGTACAAGCGAGGCAGTTTCAAGAGCTTGACAGCTTAGCGGTCATAATCCGGTGGTGAACAGTAAAAAGGAAGACTTTTTGAAAAAAAAGTAATTGATTTTTTTTTGTTGTGCAGTGAGCAATGCAAAGTCACTTGAGCGCCCTTGAGGGATCGTCTGCCCTTTACGATGCGTTGTAACGGGCGAGTCACAATCAAACAGCCACAGAAGGATAGCCTGCGTCCTGTAGGTTCCCTACAAAGGATATTTAATGAGCTGAGTGCATGCCATGCCTTCCAGTCGTCAAGACATGTCAAAGTTCTCGGTCCATGCCTGCTTGAAATCCATATCTTACCTCCCTAAAAATCCCATACTAGTTTGGTCCGCCTAACTTTAGAAAATGAATGGCCACGCATTGTGCTCTGGCTGAACCCTTTAAAATTAGCCTTTGTGTTCCGTAGAACGTACACAGGCCGAGATAGGAAGTACGACAGCCGGCGTCTCATGCAAAGAGCACATACAATTCTGCACCTAACAGTCGAAGAACGACATGCGCTGTCATGTCGGTTTATGAGCCACATCCTCACTTTTTGGAAATTTTGATGGATCTCCTTCTATCCTGGATATTCTAATTTCTTTCGTCGTGAATTCATCCGAATGATCGTACTTAGAGTGAGAGCCACCACGTTTACAATGGCCAAACCAAGCAAATTGGCGCCATCCTGAACGCACGCGCAAATTAGCTTCCAAGTATATATTTCTGCCAACAGCCAAAAACCGCTTGTCGATTGCTAGGCATGACTGTGCACAGCTGGGCCTTAATCTGTGCTGACAAGCAAATTAAATTGTGTGGGCATTGACTGCAATTGGAAAACCTCCATATGGTGCCGAACTAGCTACCGAATTCAATCGTACCGTTAAGCTCTGACTACGGCAGAAGGTTTACAAGCACAAATGTGTAGTATTGGGCCATACGGCGCAACAGATGGCGCTGGTCAATGCAGCTACAACTTGAAGAGGAGCCTGAAGTGGACCAAAATGTGCTCATTGCCAATACGACGTCCTATATCCCTGATATGGAAGAGCTTAGAGTAACGTCCTACGCGCAAAGACGAAATAGAAGATGGCCGTAGATATGGCACAAAGCTACAAAGAGTATACATACCCGATACTCCTCATGCATGTGTCAAAGCGGATCATACCGTACCATCATGGCTAAGGTCATAGCTCTCTTTAGCAGCTGAGTTGGCAGCTTTAAACTCTCCTCTCCTCTCCTACCTTTCTACTTCTGCGGTTTCAATTTTTCCGTCAATTTCTGTACCTTTTGTTCCTTAAGTTCCCAAAATTTGTAACCATCTGCTTCGCAAATAGCTGAATAAAACATGAGTACAAAAAAAAAAAAAGTTACGCATACAGGTTGGCTGCACCAGTTACGAACAGGTTAAAATGTCTTTGACATACACTAAGGGAACCATGATATGTTGTAGAGCTTAGTCCTTCACTAGATGGATAAATAATGCTCAGCAATAACTGTTTCATATGAAATTAGATTGATATGGAACAAATGGTCGAGATACGAGCTGGAGACGGTCGATATATGAAATTTCACTTTGCTTACATCGACTTATTCAATTATTTAGCGAAGCGTATCTATATGTACTTAATAGTGGAATGGCCGATTTAATTTTGTTTCTGCCAGTCATGGATATTGGTTGTGCAAAAATTAAGTTACAATGTAATTTTGTAACGCTTGAAGGTGACAATAGGCATGCGTTACAGTGGTGGTTGAAAATTTGGTAGCTTTTCAGTGACTGATATTTCAAGCTCGCTGACTCCCACTGCGAAATGCTTTGCCATCTACAAATTTAGCCTTCATGGTCACTGCAGCTGATACCATTTTGATTTATTTCACTCCTAGTCATGACTGGCTCTCTTTTCTGTGTCGACTTCAAACCTTCGAATCGCACCGTCGTCTTTAAAAAAAAAATCATGATTGGCCTATAAAAGTACATACTCAACTGCTATTGGTTAATATATCCGGTTTCATAAAAATTGAATAAGCAGCTTGCTTTTAACAAGGTCAAAGAGCAGCCAACAATCCCATATTGTATTTATGAATTCGGTGTGTTAATGTGGGCTGTTAACTGATATTACTGTCGACGTTCATTATATGCGATGCTTTTCTCATCGGCAGTCGAGCAATCTACATCACAAGCGATGTGGGTTTTTAGTTTACGCGGTGTCAAACAAAGTTACACATCAAGCGTGGCCAAGAATTATCGTTTTTTTTTTGGGAAGAAGCTACAGAGATTTGTCGTTTGAACAAGGAAACTTTTTCGTTTTTTTACATATCTTTCTCAAAAGCTTTGTGAACAAATGAGGCTCGTAATTACTCTGCTACTGGTTTATGAAGCATTTCATTCTTCTGTGATTGCGCTCAAGAGAAGAACTCCTTCAGAGGCGGGGTATGCTGAATTTCTTGTTTAAAAAAAAAAAAACGTCGGAATGGCGCCATTACACAGAAGTTTAAAAAGAGGTCGTTGTAGTCAAGCCATATGCCATATTTCACAAGTCTTACCTTGCATGGTTACACCTTGCCACTTAATTCCTTATATCTTTCGATAAACAGTGCGCCTCGGTGTTCTCGTCAGGTCATTTGGCCGACTGCTTTTATTAGTGTAATAACGCTGACCTCGTGCATAGTAGTTTACTTGCATAAATTCCTTTCAAACGAGTTGACTCGGTCGACTTTCCTTGTTTAACTCATCTTCATTTGACTTCATCCCTTCTCAGCTTCGAACGGTCCCTTTTTTGTCTCTGGACTGATGGTTTGCCGCTCTTAGCTGATGCACAACCATATCTATAAAGCATCAAAGTCCGCCTTTTTGCAAGTTAGCTTTTCCCCATAACATTCAAACCATCTTCAAGTTTATGCAAACTGATTGCTATGAACTCCACCTTTATCAGTCATGGATTTTAACTGCTGAGCAGGCATCTAAATATGGATACGTCAAACGTTGTTCATCTTCACTTCCTGTCAGATGCTAGCCATCGGTTTGACATAATGAACTGCGTAAACTTAGTCTACATCAAGTTATAGTGCAATGATCTCGTCGCTACTGCAAACCCATTGACTATGGAACTTTCCGAAGGCGCAAGGGTGTACATTGGACAAACTGCCAATCCACGGGCAAAGGAAAATGCTTTGCAACCTTATATCTCGGCTTTTGGAGTTCCTACACTTCATTTGTGTGTTGCCCATAATTTGTCCCAGTACCATCGTGATGCCCTAGAATGCACCCTAATGGCTTGGTTCACATTATTTCTTGGAATGGCTGTCTTGAATAAGTCCCCGTATGGAAACTACATCTACCGAAGTGTAAATACAAATGCCACTGTTGAGTCAGTGCCTATAAGAAACAAGTGAAACTATCGGAAGAACTTCCCAGTTTAACATACCTAACTAAGGGTCAAGTTTACCGTGGACCTCATTGATCCTGATGATGTATGTCAAGATATTGACGACTGGTATCCTCATTTTGATCAAGAAAAAGTCAATAACGCAGATCGAAACTTGATGCAATCTATGAGGGAACACTCCAAACCAATTGCTCTCGTGCTCGGTGCTAGACCGACACGACTTGTTGATGGTAGCCTCCGTAACAACTTCATTCGTGACCGATGCGGACGGCTCAATTTCTCGCGCTTGAATTATGGTCGCTTCATTGCCATGCTCTGGGTGCCCGATTCTAGCCACTACAGACACTTCAGGCTCCAAGACAGAATGTTCGGCATTGAGCTGTACACATTAGCTAGCAAAGCTATTTGCACCCTTGAGGAAAAACTCCTATCGGGACGTGATGGACGGACTGTTGAGCAGGTTGACTTTGGTTTTACCAACCTTGAAGTTGAAATGCTACAGTTTTGGTGGGATTTTCATCCACTTTGTGCCAAGATACGGCAGCTATGCCTCAAGGTAGCATTAATCCCTACATCTTACAAAGCAGCATGGACCGGTACCTTACCTGTAGTGCTGCTGAGCAAGTCCAAGTTGTTTGACGAGCCATCGGTCAGTATGCGCGAATTTTGCACGTCGGTTTCAAGGATAAATGCATTGCCGAAGGACACTTTCATCCTCTGCCTGATGAACCTGAAGATGTTCAAGTCGCTAGGTCCAGGCGCGAATACTACGACCAGCAAAGCCACACCATCAGGGGAAATCAATTTTTGTCAACTTGTTCCTTATGTAACTTCCATTTGCCGGCAAGAACATATACAAGAAACAGGAGTATCTTATTTTCCCTCCGGATGCCTCTGCGGTCGGACACGTTTCATAGAGGGCTGTCATTTTGTCCAAGGGCAGATTCCACTGAAAACGTTTCCGGATAACAATGTCTTCATCCACCACATACTGCGTCTGCCGGTACCAATTGTTATCAATCACAGACAGCTTGTGGTCTCGGTGATCGACTTTCTAGAAACTGACGGAACAACTTACTTTCAGTCTCAAACTCAGCCGATCATCAAGTTATATGGTGCTCTCTTTGCAAACTACAAAGCGTATCGAAACCAGGAAAAGGAACACAAAACTCTGTCGACGGCTTTCTCACGCTTGGTGAACCAAATGTACAGAGATTTGAGAACTATAACTGGATTTGAAACAGTTGGCCCTAGATCCACCTCTCGTGCTCCTAAACCGATCGAGAGAGCTGCTTAAAGAACTGGCACGCCAAACAAGTTCACTCTTTATTCATTTGGTGCGTTAACAGAGGGTTCACTGGAAGAAGTTGCAACCGCGGAAATGGAGGCATTGGAAGACATGAATTTTACTCCTCACTCTTCCATGACTCTCTCTGTTTTTCTAATTCTCTCCCAGAGGAGGATTTTGCTTTTAACGTACTTGACTCCCCTCTACTACAAGACCTTGGTAATTTCTCTGTGTTTACCTCTTCTACGACTACTTTTAACTATCTGGCATAAATGTCAAGATACACATCTCCGGCAATTCTGCTATAGACGCGTGACCCTAGCGAATCCAGACTCATTCTGTAACAACATGTAGAGGAATAAAATAAAAAAAATTACCCATCTTTGTCCATTACTTGATACGAATACCCATATACTCCATCTGTGCACCTTGAAAATAGATGAGAACTTGGAGGGTAAAAAGATGTTCAACTATGTAAACTTTGTGCATAACTTCAGTTCGGCTGACGAGCGTATCAAGTTAGTCTTATCACTTTCAACTATTATATCACTCTTTTAAAATTAATATGATGTAGTATATGTCGGCAAGCGTGTAGCTGAAATTTAGTAATTCTTTATAGTCTAGCTGTCGAAATAGGGTGATCATCAATTCCCGGTGGAAGTGAAAAATCCGTCCGTCATAATGAAAAAACCAATTCCCTTCTGCCAAGTAAGTAAAATCAGCTACATTTCACAAGACAACATGGAATGAAAATTGAGATAGTAAGTTTCGAGGTTTTTGGGTAGATCATAAGAACAGCACAAAAGATCTCAGGGCTTGCCTGGCATAAACAGCTTTTCATCCACTACAAAATATTCGATATAATCAAGCTCAGGAAAGAATGCTACTACTATTAAAACTAAGTAACAAGATACAGCAATAAATTGAAAAATCATAAGGCAGCAGCGGCACCTGCCGCGATAAATTTCAATAGCAAAAACGACAGTAGCCAATGGAAGCGACGGAAATAAAAACCACCAACAGGACTGCTGTGAAGTTCGCTGAAACAAGACATGCCCCCCACTCTTTTCAATGAACAGGCACCTGCCCTCACCATTTGTTAGCATTTGACACCAACAGGGGAAAACAGGTTTGTAATGTGTGTACATTTAACGATGAACCTTGTCATTTACGATTAGAACCAATCTAGCTGAGCCTGGTGGACCGAAAATTATAAAGCTTGCTAAAAGCGTATGACGATTAGAGCACTAATAAGGATAAGCAGTATTGTTTAATAGAATACGTCACTAATACCAAGATGTCTGCTTCTGAACGTGATGCGTTTGTTTATATAACACGGAGAAGTCAATGGATCATTAGCATAGAACAACCTTATTGGATTTAAGGGAGAGTCTCGGTAATATCGAACATAGATTGGGTGGTAATGGAAACAGGAGAGGCTGTAAAAGAGCACTGCATTTCTTAACTAAGGCACTAGCTTCATATCAGCATTCTTCTACCCCATGTGAACACGACAGGAGAGTTGTTTTCCCATGGCATTTGAGCTCAAGTTGCTCTAAGATATATTGCATGTTTAATTTTTTTCCCAAGAAGTTCAATCTCCTTCGTTATCAGGACAAACCTTGTAAGAGATCCCAGCTTTATGGGCCCTAACAGAGAACGCCACCAAGAAGATGTATAGAATGTCTGCGAGCTCGAGATAAGGAGTAATGGGATGAGCCACCAAAGAATTTAATATTGGGCTTGCAACCAAAGATGCCGAAAAGTTTTTTGGAAACATTTTGGCCATGTGAACGATGGCTCATCGATTGAAAGAGCTTTTTAACCACGCCCGCCTAACCGAACCTTGAGTAGATTGCATAGATATTGTGATTGAGAATATATAAATATAAAACCAAAAGTTTTAAAAATACCCATTTGCATTGTCACCTCTTTTTTTTTTTTTGTTTAACCAAGGTCACCTCATTATTTTTTTTTCCTTCTCTTCTTTTTATTTCACCCAATTGTTTACGTTTTTTTAAAGGCTTCAATGGGTTCCACCTTTGATTCTCCTCGTGCTACTTTTCAAGCCATCAAGGCTCCTCCAGCCAGCAGTCGAAATTCCTTGGGAAGCATCAGTACCCTGAATTCTTTCCAATTGCCTGCTTCTGCTGCACAAGAATCTTCCACGAACCTTGATTTCAATACCAATTTTGATCTCAGCGTTCCCCAATTTAATGCCTCCACACCCTTACCGTATGCCTTGAGAGACTCGCAAAGACGATTCGCGTTGTTTCTGGAGCCGAGCAAAAAGTCGAACTTCTACTGCAGCATCGAGAATTTCAACGACAAGGTGTTCCGCGAGCTTGGGCCTAATCAAGCGCAAAATTATGCTCCACATATCAGTATCATCGACAGTATCGTGTTGAATCGCAGCGACGACTGGGAAAATCGCTGGAGCGCAGTGCAGGACCTTCGAGATGGTGTGGAAGACACCATTCGAGACTTGGCTCCTCAAATGCAATGTCCTATGTTTCAAGGCTTAGGAGTGGTGGACAAGCCGGAAAAGGCTCTAGTAATTGGCTTGAAGTCAAGTGATAGCTATAATGAATTGGTTCGTAGGCTTAATCGGCTGATGTACGACAAACACCGCGTTAGGGTCGAGCTGCGTCCTATGAATCGATTACAGCTAGCTTACGATCGTAATCATCCCTTAAACGATCATAAACTTCGTCATCTCCAGCAAATCGCAACGGAAACCGTCGCCGTTGATGATCTAGTACTGCAAAGGGTGCCATTCGACATTGTGTTGTACGAAGTTATGCTGGAAAGCCAAGTTACCGGAGTTCGTCATCAGATGGCCGAATTGGGTAGATGGCGCGTAGTGGACGGTAATCGAAAAACTCCAGGAATCAACTCCACAAATTTCTTTATGCCGGTGTCGATTGTGGATACGGTAAAAATGATGCTAGGCCGCTGGAAATTACACTCTGGCAAAAAGCATCTGCACAAGGAATGGAAAACAGTGGACACTCGACTGCAATCGAAACTGGTCACAGCATCGTAAAAAAAAAAAAAAAAATCAACATCTCTCACTCCTTCTAACTATGACCATGGCTCCACCTGAAAGCCAACCAAAGCACCTTTCATTCTTTTTCAATATTATTCTCCTCCTGGCTCCCCATTCTTTTTATTCTACATGCACATTGTTACAAAACTGCCATAATTTCTTCGTACATATCCGTTGTAACCAAAATCATTCAAAGAAAGATAATAAAGTTATTCCTTATTGCATAGTGATAACGGCGCGAATACTAAGTGAAGAGAAAGTTTAAATCATACGAGCCATCAAGTAAGTTTCGTGCTCGATCACAGATAAGCAGGCCTAGCCTCTCGTTACTACTTACCAGTCTCCAGAGTGCATTATGTCAAATGCCTTGTTGATCTCGTCAAGTCCAAAAGTATGAGTGACAAATTCGTCGACCTTGAGCCTTCCTTCTTGGTATTCCTTGACCAATCCAGGCATCTCGGTTCTTCCCTTGATGCCACCAAAAGCTGAGCCCTTCCAGACACGACCAGTGACCAATTGGAATGGACGAGTAGAAATCTCCTCACCTGCAGCAGCTACGCCAATGATGATGGATTCACCCCATCCCTTATGGCAAGCTTCCAATGCAGCGCGCATGACTTTGGTGTTACCTGTGCAGTCAAAGGTATAGTCCAGACCGCCATCAGTCAAGTCAATCAAGACTTGCTGAATAGGCTGGTCCTTGTAGTCATTGGGGTTAACGAACTCGGTGATACCGAATTCGCGGCCGATCTTCTCCTTGCTAGGGTTGACATCCACACCAATGATACGGCTAATTTGATGATTCAACATTAGATACATCTCTCAGCCAAGAATACGTAGAAATAGGCATTGAAAAACAACTTACCTGGCCTTGTTGTAGGCAGCACCTTGAGCAACACTCAAACCAACGCAACCCAAACCAAAGATAGCAACCTGCATGGGAACAACCGTTAGATAACATATACCCTTTATGACTGAAAGAGTGAGTACGGACCGATGAGCCTTGAGTGACCTTGGCGGTACGAGTGGCAGCTCCGAAACCAGTAGTGACACCGCAACCAAGCAAGCAAACCTTTTGCAAGTCAGCTTCATCATCGACCTTAACGACAGAGACATCAGCGACGACTTTTTAAGATTTGCAGGAAAAAGATATTTAGTAACCATAAATCGTTAGCTGAGAGACTTTCCATGCATCGAGATTGGGTCATTACCAGTGTATTGGGAGAAAGTGGAGCAGCCCATATAATGGAAGAGTTGCTTTCCCTTGCAGGTGAAACGAGACGTCTTGTCAGGCATCAATCCTTGACCCTAAATGCCACCAACGTAGCTTGTCAGTCCAGCTATTCCGCATGCATACTCAATGATGACGGCGTTTTTACCTGGGTAGCGCGAACAGCACCGCAAAGGTTGGTCTTTCCACTGGTGCAGAACTTGCACTGCTTACACTCAGCAGTATAAAGAGGGATAACGTGATCACCAACCGCAACATCAGTGACACCTTCACCAACGGATTCAACAATACCACCACCTTCGTGACCAAAGACGGTGGGGAAAGCGCCTTCGGGATCTGTTGCATGATTTTTAAAAATCGAACATGGTCAGAACATGCCTTAACAAACACATAAACACCAATGAAGCATACCTCTTCCTGACAAAGTGTAGGCGTCGGTGTGGCAGCTGGCGCGGTTTTTAAGTCAATGTTAATACCCTTGTCATGCACGTTAATGCATTATCCGTCGATCATCATAGCACTTACACGCCGGTGTACAGGATCTGAATACGGACTTCATGAGCCTTCGGGGGAGCAACCTCAATTTCTTCGATAGCTGTTCGCAAACACGAATGGAAAAGGATTAGATATACGAGGTGAACGAGTATAGCGTGTGTGTAAATATACATACACAAAGGCTTGCCAGCCTCCCAGGCGACGGCAGCTTTACACTTGATAACCTGGAACGTGCAATCAAGACATTAGGATGCATGCTACAAGACGTGAGTAGTGAATCTACTGAGGGCATTGAACGTACTTGACCAGCAGTTGATGACATGATTAAAAACAACTTGTTGAGCTCGAGTTGGCTGTCATCGCAGCTAAATCCTGACCAGATGTGACTGTCATCTGAGCTCACAATTTGCCCGCAGCCCGCCCGCTCGGAAGACCGCATTTACGATGGCAGAAGCACTCTGGGGTGCCTTGTCATCATATCAAACACAACCAAGCATCATATCACGTTGTCGTGGTAGTTCGATGACTTTCATTACGTATGTTTTGAATCATATTGGGATTTTGCTTTGAATAAGTCAAACATTTTCATTATACCCTTGTTCTGAGTTTCAAGCCTTACCGGAACGTATAGGCAAGATAAGACTGAGAGCAGAGCAGTTATACCGTGCGGGAACGGAACACAAAAGCTTTTTCCTTGCCACAGTATTATTGATTTGCAAAACAAAACTGCTGTTTCAGAGTGTTTAATTAATAATGCCACCTGTCATAATCAATGGTGTCATCTGTGTATGATCGTTCATATGTCGCTACTACACAAATGACGCTTCCTCTCTGACGTGAGGCAACCTCAACATCCTCGTCAACTCGTCATTACTAATCTCCTCAAGACTCGTTCCATTTATTGGCTAGCTGCAGGAAGAAATGAAACGGACATTCACAATGCGAAGAGCTGTTGTACTGCGGTTCACCTTTCGTTTTCAGCCTGACATATGGCTCACTCTGAGTGTTCCGTATCGTCATTGATTTTTCCAAAATACGTACCAAATGTATATCATACCATGAGGCAGAGTAGAAAAAAATTGGAAGTCTCCATGCCAAACAAGGTGATGCTTATGTCTTCGATTGATCAACTTCCTATTGATCACCCCAAAAAAATGTAGTATTAGTTTCCATCGGCCACTTTTTGATTTTCAGTGAAGGGCTTTCCATAAAAATGCTAACAATAACGCCAACGGAGATGATGATCTGTTTACCATTGTGATCTTCGGTGCCACTCTGGACAGAGCATACGACTTGCTTGCAACTCATCACCATATAAATTTGCTTTTGCCCACAATTTACCCTTACTTGGTATAAAGAACACAGAGTGCCAAGCATTGTTGACTTTTTTTTTCAGATAATGGAACGAAATATTTATTTTTATATTGGTACAAGTTATTAAGCGGTCTCCATCCGCCTTTGAATAATGCGGACTACATGAAAATTACAATTATACATGGCAAAGAACATTATGTTTCTGAGTAATATTCTCTCTCATCTACATCTTCATCGTCGTACCAATCATGCATGTAGTCTTCGTAGCGCCAGTTTTCTTGAAACAGAGACACCTTGACATTCTTATTTCCTCGATGCATTGATTGACTCTCAAAAATTCTTCTTGGAACTTCAGAGGGTCGAACAGCAAACTCCTTTTGGTCGGTGGCAGATGATACGATTCCATTCATAAGCTTTTCGAAGTCTGAGTTCTGTGAATTAGCACTGTTCTTGAACGTAATGGTTATTTCGTCTTGGACGGACGGTATTTGCGTTTCCGCTAAAGGGAAAGCTGTTACTCGGGAAATGATGAGTAAGTAAGCCAACAGGAAGTAAACGAAAATGAATGAGGTCATTGCTGGGTATATTGAGTGAGTGAATGATAGTTGATGAGTTGAAAAAAATGATGTAAAAAGTGCTACTTATAAGACGCAGCCTCGACTTCAGGGACGGCCGAGCATCCCTGATTCTTCAAGGGCGCACCAATAATGATGGAAATGATCACCGAAGAAGTGCTTTAGGCTCCTGAAAAGGCAGCAGCTTGACTCCTGAGCAGAACTTTCCGTCGAATCCGTAGTCACTGTCTTGACTTTTTTTTTAATAAATCCTCGGGCAGTTCAATCAAAACATTCATGGCATGGTAGGAAACAAAATTGCAGCACCTTAGTTTTTTAGGTTGAACCAAGTGTCTTTACATTGAAAAATTTGCGAATACATAGAGCGCTTGTGCTCAGAATATCTTTGTTTTGTATACAAAAAAAAAACTAAAAAAAAACGATAACTTTCCCATACCGATCATCACTCGCACGCAAATAAAACGGAAGGGTGTCCCTTCCTTCCAGGTTGAGGTATGATAAACTTTGATAACTCCAATGGCATGGAACTAACCGACTCAACCAAACATCCCTGAATTCAATTTGTTTAATTTCACTTTATTGAATGGTACCGTCATCCATGTAACGATATACAGCTCTCAAGGAGAGATGATTAACGTTTGGCTACTAATGTCAGGCCGTCTGTTGCAAGGTTTGATTGTCAAATGTGACTGCTTTCAGAATGGGCCAGTGGTGGATCCCACTTTGAGTTGGAGGGCCGTTCCACACAAAATCGGTGCCAGCTTGCAAATCGTTGAGCTTTCTTTTCCGTTATCTGTAAGTAACCCTATATACCATCCATTGCTAAAATTGCCTAGAGTCGATATCGCCATCGATGAATGAACGGATGGATGGATGATGCTTCAAAATAGCGACCTATCAACTTTTTAGACATCATTGCGCCTCGCCAATGTCGACATTTGAACCACAATCACATCTAACGCAACATGCCCACCATTTAACCTAATAAGCCCACCCACACTTTCACCATGCCCAATCACCTTCAGCTCTGCCTTTCGGGCTCTGATGAAATGCAAACAACTGCACATTAACTAATAAGCCCTGGAGACGATCCGACGACTGCAATTATTTTTTTCCACCCAACCACCGACTTCTACTGCCTGCCCCAGACTTTCTCATTTTGCCATTTTCAATCTTACTAACCCATCCTTACCACCTCTCTACTTGACAGCTTGATAAAAAATGGGTCGCGTTATTCGTGCTCAGAGAAAGTCTGGAGGAATCTTCAAGTCGCACACCACTCACCGTAAGGGTGCTGCCAAGTTGAGATCGCTCGACTATGCTGAGCGCAACGGCTATGTTCGCGGTATTGTCAAGGAAATCATCCACGATCCCGGTCGTGGTGCTCCCCTCGCCAAGGTTGTTTTCCGCGACCAATACAAGTACCGTCTCCGTACCCAAATCTTCATCGCCACTGAAGGTATGTACACCGGTCAATTCATCTACTGCGGAAAGAAGGCTTCCCTCTCCGTTGGCAACGTCCTTCCCGTCGGTTCTATGCCCGAAGGTACCATCATCTGCAACGTTGAGGAGAGAGATGGTGACCGTGGTGCTCTTGCCCGTACCTCTGGTAACTATGCCACCGTCATCGGTCACGGTGACGACGGTAAGACCCGTATCAAGCTTCCCTCTGGTTCCAAGAAGGTTGTTTCCTCCGGTGCCCGTGCTGCCATCGGTATCGTCGCTGGTGGTGGTCGTATTGACAAGCCTTTGCTCAAGGCTGGTCGTGCTTTCCACAAGTACAAGGCTAAGCGTAACAGCTGGCCCAGAACTCGTGGTGTTGCCATGAACCCCGTTGACCATCCTCACGGTGGTGGTAACCACCAGCATATTGGTAAGGCTTCTACCATTCCCCGTGATGCCTCCGCTGGTCAGAAGGTTGGTTTGATTGCCGCCAGAAGGTTAGTATCATTTGTTATTGTTACGTGTATTGTGAGTCAATGGACTGATCCCCCGAATTCCCTTTTTATAGAACCGGTTTGTTGCGCGGTAGCAAGAAGCTCAAGGAGTAAATGTAGCACGATGATATTCAAAGTAGCCGCCAATAAAAAAAGTAACACACAGATTTGTTTCATTGTTAAACGTCGATATAACATCATTGCTTGGGAAAATATCGGGGGGTGGTATGATTTCGGAAGCTGGCCATGTAGTTGTTGGACTTTTGGTTGTTCGTTTACGGTGATTCATAAGAATATCTTTGGACCCATAATGTAATTGCTCTATCATCGATTTAACTGTGAAGCAAGCGATCGACCGCAGATAAAACGTCACAAATTTAAAAGCAACGGCCTGGCACATTCCAAATCGAGAAGTCTGCTCTCTTCGAGGAATTACAAACTGCATGCCAAAAGGTCAGAAGCGTAAACCCAATCCCACTGCTACACCGTCTCCTAGGAAGAAGTCTACACCAGCAACCCCTCAAAAGGGCTTAGAATTTTTCTTTGAATCCCAGCGAAAGAAGCAGCATAAGTTAGAACAAGAAGCATTCGGCGATCCGCAATTGGCTCGACCTTCGAGTCCTCTTGGCAATCGCGGCAATGCAGCAGACGAAGCAGCGCTCTGGGAGCTCCCACCAACGGATGAAGAACCATTGTTCCTTACGAACAATCGGTCTATGTTAGCGTCGACAAGCAGCCCAGCGAAAGAACAACCAAGCCATGACAGCCCAATCACCACCCCACCTGAAGATACCGCTTCAATTGTCAAATCGGAAGAGCCATATAGTACTGATATTATCAATGAACCAAAGACAACAGCGTCGACTAATTCATTCCTATTGCAAACGAAAGATGAAATTAAGGAAGACAATGAAGCTTTAAAGCAGCCATTGACCACGGACCCTCTGGAATTTGACGCACACGCATATCCTGTCAACTCTTGGATGACACCAGATGGACCTGTTGCTCCTTACTCATTCATTACAGAAGCTTTTTGTATCATCGCCGATACCAACGCCAGAATTATGATCACTAATGTCCTCTGCAATATGCTGCGCGTCCTCATGGTTCACACTCCGACCGATTTGTTACCTGCTGTATGGCTTTGTTCGAATGCCATTGCTCCACCTTATATGGGCGTGGAGCTTGGAATAGGCCCATTGATATTGAGCAAGGCTATCAATTCCGTTGCTGGCACAAGTGGAAAGGCTCTGAAATCACTTTACGAGAAATATGGAGATTGGGGCGACGTTGCCTATGCTGCAAAGGTCTCGGTTCGAACCTTGATTCAACCCAAACCGCTGACCGTACGAAACGTCTTCTCAACTCTCAAGTCGATTGCCAGTTTGAAAGGACAAGGCACTGTTGATGCGAAAGCTGCCTTGGTGAAGAAACTCGTTTTAGCCTCTCGCGGGGAAGAGGTCCGATACCTTGTCCGTACATTTGTATCTCACCTAAGAATAGGAGCTGTGCGCACTACCGTCTTGACGGCTCTGGCGAAAGCATGCGTGTTGGACCACTCACCATTCTGTTCAATTGAAGAAGACGACCCCGTAACAATGCATTTCCATCGACAAGCCGGGGACGATAAAGCGGTTTTGACGGAAAAAATGAAGCGCGCAGAGAGAGTGGTCAGGGAATGCTATGCACAACATCCTAATCTAGACAACATCGTTCCAGCTTTGTTGCAAGGCATCTCCCAGTTCAAAGATCACTGTCCACTTTCCGTTGGCGTTCCACTTCGACCTATGCTTGGAAAAATCACTCGGGATTTATCCGAAGTGTTTGTGAAATTAGAGGGACGTTCCTTTGCTTGCGAATACAAGTACGACGGCCAACGAGCGCAAATTCATCTTGGCGAACAAGGACATATTAAAATATTTAGTCGACATTTAGAGGTGAGGTTCCTCAGCACGACTCGTTGGCGTAGCTGGCAATGTTCCTGACGAATTATATTTACAGGACATGACCGACAAATACCCAGACGTTGCGGCATTACTAGCCAAAATGTGCAAAGAGAACACCAGGTCATTCATCATCGATGCGGAAATAGTGGCTATTGATGACAAGGGTGTTATCCAGCCGTTTTCAATTTTGAGCAACCGTGCCAGAAAGAATGTAATGATTGAAAACATTACCATCAGCGTCGTAAGTACTATGTGATATGGAACGACTACAAACACTGCTGTCATGCTGAACATTTCCTCTCGGGTATGATATTCTTCGGTATCAGTGCGTACTCGCCTTCGGTAAGTATCTATATCCTTAATATCATTCAATGATGAGGCAGATTGGTTTTAACAGAGAATGGGTCTACAGATTTAATGCTACTGAACAATGAACCGACTTTACAACAGTCTCTCAGAGTACGGCGACAGCTATTACGAGACCATTTCCACCTTATAGAGAACAAATTTGCACTCGTCGAGGCAATAGATGCATCTGGAAGCCAGGAGTGCCAAGACGAAGTATCCGACTTTTTCAAAAAGAGTATCAAGGATGGATGTGAAGGCATTATGGTAAAGGTGCTCGACCATCCCGGAATGGACAACAATGGCAAAGCTCCGATGGACGACGACAAGGCGAATACTGACAAAGTCGAGACACGCGCAACCAAAACATCACAATTACTATCCACTTATGAACCAGGTAATGTGCAGGAGTAGAAAAATGGTACCCATGGTGCTTTATCCTAATGTCTACTACAGACAAACGCATGGAGAGCTGGCTCAAAGTCAAGAAAGACTATGTCGAAGGGGTCAGCGACTCACTCGATCTTGTGGTAAGAACATAGTGTCGATGATCTGCTCAAAGCTTAGCTCATATTCCTGATCGTTTGTTAGCCTATTGGAGCATGGTGGGGAAATGGTCGCAAAGTTGGATGGTATTCTCCAATACTTCTAGCGTGTTATAACCCCGAGAGCGAAACATTTGAATCGGTATGCAAATGCATATCAGGTAAGGGAATCATCGACTGACGAAGACATCGTACAAACACGTAACCGATAATTGTTGTATAGGGTTCAGTGACAAATTCTACAAGGAAATGCTGGAGGTCTACTCTGTTGACAATGGACGAGTTTTGAACGGACCACGACACGACTACGTGACAGATCATCGACCAGATGGTAAGTGACGCGAAAGTGTTGTGGCGAAACTTGTCTATGGCTGGTAACACAGATTTACTTGCACGTCTGTAGTATGGTTCCAAGCGTGTGAAGTGTGGGAAATCAAAGGTAATATGGTGGATACTATGATGATGAACGTGAGGCATAAACATTAACGCTGACGACGGCCTCATAGGCGCTGATATCACGGTGAGTCCAATTCACAAGGGTGCCATAGGGCGAATAGACGAGGCACGCGGACTTTCACTGCGGTTTCCACGATTTGTCCGCAAGCGCGACGACAAGGACGTTGAGGACGCGACATCAAGTGAGATATTGGCGGAGATGTACGAAAAACAAACGAACCTCCATGGGTCTTCAGCCATAGAGAATGGCAATGCGGAAAATGAGGAGGAAGAAGGATGGATAGCTGATGATTGAACAACACGCTTCAATCACGAAACCTCGCGCTTTTGGTCAGTGTAGTACGTGGAATATCCACTGGAGCCAGCAATGAACGATGGGCGACAAAAGTGTGTAACCAAATGGAGTCCGCGTACTCCTGAAAATCTCCGCTTGTTCTACTTCCAAATGTCTGCAATCTACTTGCCAGGGTTGGAATTCTAGCGTCTTTTCATTATCTAATGTCCATAGAGTCAGTATTTAGATGCAGTCAAAATGTAAAATAATTGGAAAAGAGAAGAAAATTGTAAAGAAGTACTATGACCCAATGGCTTTTTCAATTACCGCGTGAATCGCGTTTATGCTGGACTGAACCTTTCACTATGTAGCTATTACTTGACTGCTTCTCAAGTATACTTTGCACTAAAGACACAATCGCTCCGCAGCTTATCGCTTAAACCATTACACCAACACTAGACACGAGCACATGACATTGTCCATTACAGATGATATAGGAATGTTATTAGAGAAACAAACAGCAGTAAAAAAAAAAAAGGGGAGAGTCTGTACAGATGAAACGAGTTGAAGGGATAAATAAAGCGTGCGATGCTAAGAGTCGATAACCCAGTACGGTGTATACCAGTCAACGACAATGTTGTGATTGAAAAAGAGATGATTGAGGAAGTGTGTCGCGAGATGTTGGAAATATTGTCATTATGTGTAATTTTGTTGCCAAAATGCCTACAGTTTTCGTTATCTGAATCCTATCTCCTCTTAGCTGAGCATTGTTCCTTTATTTGGAGCTGGTGTACTTGGTGACGGCCTTGGTACCTTCAGAGACGGCGTGCTTGGCCAATTCACCAGGGAGAATGAGACGGACAGCAGTCTGAATCTCACGGGATGAGATGGTGGAGCGCTTGTTGTAAGCGGCGAGCTTGGAAGCTTCACCAGCAATACGCTCGAAGATATCGTTAACGAAAGAGTTAAGGATGGACATGGCCTTGTTGGAGATACCAGTATCGGGGTGGACCTGCTTCAAGACCTTGTAGATGTAGGAAGAGTAGGTTTCCTTACGGGAAGCCTTGCGCTTCTTACCGTCGGCAGACTTGGCCTTCTTCTCGACGCTCTTAGCGGGAGCCTTTCCTCCAGTGGGCTTCTTTTCAGCTTTGGGTGCCATGTTTGTAAAGTTTTTGTGTGATGAAAAAAGAGAAAAAAGTTGGGTTGGCGGAGAATGTGGGCGAGTCTTTTATATAGGGAGAAATTTCATTTACAGTACTCTGTATATATGACAGGCACGCGTTCCACCATGCAAATGGATGAACTACATTATTCTGACCAAATGATAGAGATAATCCAAATCCAATACGTGATAACGCGCAGCTACACGTACTTGCACGTAAAGCTACCGTGTCAATTTTTGGCCATATCACGGTCAAGACCACCAACGGCTCCAACTACGATATCTATCACGAGGTCGTGACGTCAGCAACATGGAAAAGAATATATAAAGAATGCCCGCAGGACGGAACCCGTCTAGTTTTTCTCTTTTTCGTCAAAGCTTTTTAAACCTTTATCAAACATGTCTGGAGGAAAGTCTGGTGGTAAATCCGCATCTGGTTCCAAGTCCCAAACCCGTTCCGCTAAGGCCGGTCTTCAGTTCCCTGTCGGTCGTATTCATCGTCTCCTTCGCCGCGGTAACTACGCCCAGCGTGTTGGTGCTGGTGCCCCCGTTTACCTTGCTGCGGTTCTTGAGTACCTCGCTGCTGAAATTCTCGAATTGGCCGGTAACGCCGCCCGTGACAACAAGAAGTCTCGTATCATCCCCCGTCATCTTCAACTTGCCATCCGTAACGACGAAGAATTGAACAAGTTGCTCGGACATGTCACCATTGCCCAAGGTGGTGTCTTGCCCAACATTCACGCCAATCTTCTCCCCAAGAAGACCAAGAAAGTTGGTGCTTCCCAAGAATTGTAAACTTGGTTCTATACTTCTTTTCGCATATTATTTCCTTCTATATCAGTTTTCTCCTAGTCCCAAACCCCCATGTAGTCGTTTGACATTCTCTTAACCCACCAAGCATCAGTGTACATAGCTTACTAAACATCAGTTGAATGCAAAAAGGACAATTCAGTATTATTTGGCATATGGATATATTGTGGTTGGTGAAATAATTAGTGGTTGCAATGGTGGAAGAAATATGATTACAAGGCGAGGTATAGACATAAAGAAAAATATTCAAGGTGATCTATCATCAGTCTCTCTATCCTCAAATTGAATAACCCGATTCCGCTTCAAATTGAATTTGACTGCCTTGCGTAGAGTCGCTGATGTGCTGGTCGTTGGCTCTGCGCTCCCACCGCGTTTCGCGTTACCTGAGCGGCCTTCTAAAAGGTCTCGTCGGCCCACTCGTCTAGCCTCACGCGCTTCTCTCTCCTCCCGCACTTTCCAGAACTTCAGCTGCTCCGCGCGTTTCGCTTGTCGCCGTCGTTTCTCCTGTAACGTGATAGGTGCGAACCTTGTGATACCTTCGACGTCGTCAACATCGTCCTCTTCGTCCTTATTGGTCGTGGTCGATTTTTTGGTAGCGTTTTGAATCATACGACGAAACGGCGTTAAATTGCTGCTTTGAGCCTTGGTATTCTTCTGAGGGCTGTTGGCTTTCGCTGAGCCTAAGCCAGCCTTGACCTTATTAAACATCGTTCCATTTGACTTGTGTCCTTCCCTTTGAATTTCTAGAGAAGTGCTTTGAGATGGTTCCACTTCATCGTTGCTGACAGACCCAGGTCTAGGGCTTGATGGCTCGATAGCCTCCTCATCTTGATACACTTCTCCCATAACCGTATCTTGGCCTGGTGATTCTGTCTCAATGAAGCTCGCTGCAATTACTTCGTTTTCCCCCATATCTACGTCATCTTGTGCCACAGCTTGTTCTTCAGCAAGGTTCTTTGCGACATCCTCTTGTTGCTGCTTTTGCGGCATAGATCTGGCTATAGGGGATGAGAATAAGAATCTCTGCTTATTGATGCCAATAGAAGTGGTAATAGGGGGAAGGGACGGCCATTGGTTCACGTCGAAAACGTCTTCTTCAGGCTTTGCTGCCATTGTGTTAATATGAAAGCGGTCAGAGAGCCACCGTGTTGCTGCTGACGCTTGGACGCTTGTGTCGTTTTGGCTATCACTGGAAATACTGCCGTCTAGGGACACCCCTTTTGCGTTATTTTTCGAATCAGTTGACATTCGAGTAACCTTTAGATTCATCCATCAATATTAGTACAATTACCTTCTATTGAATCGGTGTTTTCAACGTCGTCCATGGGATGGTTCAATAATGCAATCGTGTGATGAACATAAGGGCAAGTCAGTCGTAGAATCTTTTGGTTGAACTTGTTCTGTGACCTCCTGAAAAACTGCAAGCGATCATTTGCACTACTGAAAATTTCAGGCGGACGTCACGCGGTCAAGCCTTTTGTTCAGCCAGCTTCAAAACTCATGCACACACACATTATTTCAAACAATATAAACAAATATTCGATATTAGAGAGCGTTCCATAGAGTTCAATTATGAAAAAAGACGTATATTACAGAACGATAAGGAACAGAAAAAAAAAGCGTTTGTTACGGTGAGATAGGGTTCTATACAAGTGCTCTCACTAAGTGGAGTGAAGCAGGCAAGCGGATATGAGGGTTGAAAATATTTTTTGGGAAGTAAATTTAACCTCCGAAACCGTAAAGAGTACGGCCCTGTCTCTTGAGAGCGTAGACGACATCCAAGGAAGTAACAGTCTTGCGCTTGGCGTGTTCAGTGTAGGTAACAGCATCACGGATGACGTTCTCAAGGAAGACCTTCAAGACACCACGGGTTTCCTCATAGATGAGACCAGAGATACGCTTGACACCACCACGACGAGCGAGACGACGGATAGCAGGCTTGGTAATACCTTGAATGTTGTCACGAAGAATCTTGCGATGACGCTTGGCACCTCCCTTTCCGAGTCCTTTTCCACCTTTGCCGCGACCAGTCATATTGATATAAGATTTATGAGTGTTATGAAGAAGTGGGAAATCCCGCTTCGTCAGACCCTCTTTATATACTTGGAGATCTTGGGTTAGGGGAGTGCTGTCGGAGTTATGCGCGCTACAAAATTTTCACTATATCACCACGCTGACTATGTCCACCCTGGCCGATAGCTTTGGGGTATCCACGCATGTAATTTGACCAAAATACGTGAGTAAAGAGAAAAATAAAAGCAGGGATGGGTTCCTATATTAATGACCTTGTACTAATGCATTTTAGTGAACATAATGTATTAAAATGAAGAGATCTACAGGAAGTGAAGGCAGTGATAACACGGTAGAAAGGGAGGGATAGTAAAAAAAAAATTTAAAGTCTGAAGCCATGACACGGTAGCGCGACACCGCGACAGAGAGAGAGAGAGGGCGCGACACCGCGACAAGGAGGAGTTTGAAGGTAAGAGCGCGTTTGGGAAAAATATCTATGTTTTCCGGAGCACGAAAAATAGCAGCAATATTTCAGACATAGCAACTTTGCGAAATTGAAAAATAGTCAGCGACATAGTTCCTCCTGGTCTGACTTTGAAAAAATTTCATATAAATACCCACCACACTCTGGCATGCCCCCGATTCTTTTCTTATAACTCACACATTTTATAAACATGGCCCGTACTAAGCAAACCGCTCGCAAGTCCACTGGTGGTAAGGCCCCCCGTAAGCAGCTCGCCACTAAGGCTGCTCGCAAGAGTGCTCCCAGCACTGGAGGAGTCAAGAAGCCTCACAGATACAGACCCGGTACCGTCGCTCTTCGTGAAATCCGTCGTTACCAAAAGTCCACTGAGCTTTTGATCCGCAAGCTTCCTTTCCAACGTCTTGTTCGTGAAATCGCTCAAGATTTCAAGACTGATCTTCGTTTCCAATCTTCCGCTATCGGTGCTCTTCAGGAAGCCTCCGAAGCTTACCTCGTTGCCCTCTTCGAAGATACCAACTTGGCTGCCATTCACGCCAAGCGTGTCACTATCCAACCCAAGGATATCCAGCTCGCTCGTCGCCTCCGTGGAGAGCGCTCTTAAACAGCTCGCATTCGTAGTGTTCAGTAGTTTTTAAAACAGTTCAGAAACATTACCAATATCCCCTTTGCCGACTTGTACAGTTTTTTCTTTACATCCATTACCACTCTGTCTTTGACTCTGTATTTACTTTCGTTTTTTTTTCCTGGTCTAATGCAATACAGCACTCTGGATACCAGATATCCTAGAACAGCTTTACCAAATGATGCAAAGTGTTTACGTGAAATAAGAGAAAAAAAAATTCTCTGCGACGTGTGATTACTTTAGAACTGCGCGACGCGATAACAAAGTTTTTGAAAATTCAACCCAGTATTTTTGCGACCGTGAAGTCAACAAGTAAGACACGTAAAACCAGTTGCTATCATATGATGGTACTGCGGAGCCAGCTTATCATGCTGCGGTAGCATGAATGCTTGTTACTTCATTTCGTAATGTCAACCGACATTGAGTAAATCAGCGCTGACGGTTAAGCTGACCTGGTGCATCAATCAATATTGTTATTTTTTTGGGATAAATTGGATAATGATTTTTTATTTTATTTTTAATCATCGTACGATTGTAACGCACAGGGCGTAAAAGGGTGGATTAAGCAGATTACAGGGGCGAGGGTGAGGAGAGGGTTGTATTGATAAGAGTTACCTAGTCAATCCAACAACTGGCTAGGGGTCAGCTGAACAATTTATCTTAGGGCGACTGAGAGCCACGAATAAAAAGAGAAGTTAAGAAACTAACTACCAAGCTCCGACATGCCAAATCAAGGTATGAAAGGAATCGTAACGCGGTCGCGCGTTCAAAAAAGAAGCGCGCGACGATTGACACGCCGCGTGAAGTGAAGTAGGAGTAAGGCACGATGAAAGAAGGAGGGAGCGCGTTTCAAACATTTCATTGCACGCGCTGCAGTGTAACGCGGTGATTCACCATCAACTCAGTGAAGAGTGGCACGAACGCGGTAAGGTTCAGAAGCCAGACAGGTCGCGTTCAGAAACATTGAGGCTGCGCGGATGTAAACACGACAAGGGGTAGGTGAGAAAATATCTCTGTCCCTTTTTTGAGGGACACCGCAATTTTCAATCCAGCTGCTCAACATTCCATCAAAGGCGTTTTGGTGCAGCATAATGTGACGAGATAACTTCAAGCTATTATGCCCTATATGTGACAATATCTTACCAGGTTCATGCGCTTTATTCCTATGGTTTCAGATGTATTCAGTAAATAGTATGATTAAGCGATGCATTGTAAAGTTCCCTGGCGTGAATACTAGCAAAAAGTGTACACTGGCTGACGTTCATTCAGACATAGCAGTTATCATTTTGTCCTTCATTAAAACACCGCTCACAAATGGGATGTTACCTATGTCTGTTAGAATATATACCTAGAATATGAACATTTACTTTGATATCATCCATTGAATAAAATACATAACCTCTTATAAGTACTTTATACTGCCTATGCTGTGTTCGCTTGGTTTGAAGAGCTGTTTTATATATGGTATTGTACTTATCAATAATATTGGGTGTTATTATGCCAGAATAGCTAGCATACCCGTCTGTAACAAGCTCCATAACACTTGTATGATTCAAGGTAGCGCTAATCTACATCTGAAGTGCAATGAGAGCAATTAATTTATGTTCACCTAATTTTATTGAAATATAACAAAAGCTATAACTCTTTCTATACTGAAAGGTAGTTGATATATTCTTAGATTTCGTAATTGAAAAATTAATATAGGAAAAATAACATTTACTGCCCAAAATCTGACTTTTATGAGTAACAGCTATAACATATAATGTATAAAAATTGCTTCTAGATGTGATATAAGTTTCATAGCATTGAAGCCAGTAGTTCGCTTGCAAATTAAAAAAATGTTATTATTGCCATACAAATGCATGCAAAATTTCGTAGACAGGTCGCTCGATCAACTTTGAGTATGTGCCTCCGCCAAAGTCACGCCAGGTAACTTGCATCGACGGAGGCAAGCTGAGACTTTTACACTCGCTCGTCAACAGCTTCAATTCCACAACGTTATACTGAAAAACTTTCTGAAACTACTCTGATCTTACGCCTCTTCAGTCTGGACCAGAATCATTTACCATGACTCGCTGACTTGTATTTCTAGTCCATCTTAAACTATCGCACGTTAAAAAAACAATGTGCAAATGCTCAAGGCGACATTCTTTGAATAACACAGAGATTCACAGCAATGGAGCTTACCAACTACAGCTTCTCAAGTCAGCTAAATTCATACACAACGGAAAGCACTATCCAGCTTATCACAATCAGTCAGAACACACATTCTTCAGAACTAAGTAGCCACAAGTGGGTTTTCTTCAAAGAGCTTTATCAGTATTTACACAGCTTGAGACTAACAGGAAAATCTTTGCTAAGAATGGATACAATAGCATCCTTGGAAAAAAGGTGGTAACAAAAGGTGGGAATTAACACAGAGGTTGTATGTTTGTACATTAAATGAGGTGAAAAGTGGGAACAAGTCGAGGGGACGGAAAAACAAAAGCAAGGTAGTAGAAGCGAGAAGCGTCTAGGAAACTTCCGACCTTCTTGCAGAAGTGATGTAGTTCGATTCTCGTTTTAAATAAAAAACTTTGGTTTTGATTTTGGTGGGCAAACCCTTTAGAGTTCCTGGGAAGCACCAACCTTCTTGGTCTTCTTGGGAAGAAGGTTAGCGTGGATGTTGGGCAAGACACCACCTTGGGCAATGGTGACGTGTCCGAGCAACTTGTTCAATTCCTCATCGTTACGGATGGCAAGTTGAAGATGACGGGGGATGATACGAGACTTCTTGTTGTCACGGGCGGCGTTACCGGCCAATTCGAGAATTTCAGCAGCGAGGTACTCGAGAACGGCAGCAAGGTAGACGGGAGCACCAGCACCAACACGCTGGGCATAGTTACCACGACGAAGAAGACGATGGATACGACCAACGGGGAATTGAAGACCGGCCTTAGCGGAACGGGTTTGGGACTTGGAACCAGATGCGGATTTTCCTCCAGATTTTCCTCCAGACATGTTTGATAAGTTTTGTGTGAGTTGTTAAAAAAAACGGTGAGTGAAGAAAGCGGAGACTGGGCGGCTAAACCACAGGGTTTATATACTAGAGCCACATTTTTTAAAGGTCCGAAGGTTTGTAAAGGAGTGTACCATCATGGTAGGTGAAAGGATGTGAAATAGTAGCAGCCGTGAATTGACGCGGTAGGGCCGTTGCTGAAGCCTGATCATATTTCTATAGGATGAAAAATACCACTGTTGGATCGCGTGATATCTCGCGTCAATCTCGCGTTATCACGTAGAGTGGATATCAAGTCATGCATATCAAAAATATAGCATAGACCATGGTCAGCATGCAGGCCATTGCGCGCGCACCTCTTGTACCTGAGCTTGAAATGGCTTGAATAGAAGGAAAATTTTGGGACAACACGTGAGTGCAACGTCACACAACCGATTTTATGCTGGCAAAGCTGGCGTTATAAAAAGAGGCGATTTTTTACCGCAGCCCACTTCTTTTCACTTTCTTATTTTTACACCGTACAACATATACAATGGCACCCAAAGCTGAAAAGAAGCCCACTGGAGGAAAGGCTCCCGCTAAGAGCGTCGAGAAGAAGGCTAAGTCTGCTGACGGTAAGAAGCGTAAGGCTTCCCGTAAGGAAACCTACTCTTCCTACATCTACAAGGTCTTGAAGCAGGTCCACCCCGATACCGGTATCTCCAACAAGGCTATGTCCATCCTCAACTCTTTCGTCAACGATATCTTTGAGCGCATTGCTGGTGAAGCTTCCAAGCTCGCCGCTTACAACAAGCGTTCCACCATCTCTTCCCGCGAGATTCAGACTGCTGTCCGTCTCATTCTCCCTGGTGAATTGGCCAAGCACGCCGTCTCTGAAGGTACCAAGGCCGTCACCAAGTACACCAGCTCCAAGTAAATGTTTTGTAGGAAATTCAAGGGCTACTATTGGCCAAGAAAATATTGCCTGCATTATATCTTTAGCACATTGCTCTGTACAGTCCTCACCTTTTCGCCCTCTTCTGTTTAATTTCCCCCTTTTGATTTCTTGCAAAAGCTCAAGAGAAAACGCGTTGTTATCACTATCTTGATTACACTGGTGCGAACTCTCATGTTCTTTAACTTGGAATCATTTGATCATCGTTTTTTTTTGTTGCCCCTTGCCTTGTACGTATATATATTTGCCTTTTATTCGATACAACCCTTTAAAAAAAATCAAAAGAATTTTTTTTCCCCATATGAACACTGTCTGCCTTGTGAATTGAGTGATAGTAGTCTGTTAATATCGTATAAAGATAGATACCTTGAAAGTATGCAACGCGAGGGTAGGAAACCCACGTCACAAAAAGCCAGTTCGTGGTTTTTTTATGTGCGGTGGAAAAGAAAAAAGTGCTTTGCCTTGTTCAACCCGACGTGATTGCTCCTTCTACATAATGTCGGCGTCATTATCACTTAAGCAGATATTCGAAAAGTCGCAGCTGCTCACGACGCACATATCGAATCCTGAGCTACCTCCATTGGATCGTGGCCTGGATCAAATTGAGCACCTGTCTCAAAATCTGGCGCCAAATGTTGACGGCAGTGCCAACCCTATTGACATTAGAGCGTAAGCATTAGCAGAATTAGCCAATTGCTTTCAAAGAAAAAACATAACCAAAAAGCTAATTTCATCCTGCCATAGACATTACTTTCTGGCAAAGGGTGGCGTGAATGCTCAAGCAATGGCACGTCACTTAGACACCGTCAAATTGACTTCCACATTCGATCTTCGACGGCCAGTTCACGACACAGACATCGACGTAAGATTATGAAACCAATATAGCACACTTTCCATGAATATTAACTAAGCCATATTTTAGGGTTATCTGAAGCAGGAGCATCAGCGTGTCATTGCTCATACCATAGAAGCTGGAAGATGCGAGGTATGCAAACTGTTTCGCCGTACTATGTGACAAATGTTCTGTTTACAACTGCTCTAATTCATTACTTTAGTCTTCTGCAGCGCTGGAGAGATCGTACGATAAAGACCTAGATGCGGCATGGCAACTTGCTACCAAAGGATCAGCAAAGCAGACTTCGGATAGCACATCACTGTTTCAATCAACTTCAAGTTCTCTTGGTCTGGACGAAATTAGTGGTATTGCAGCGAAGTTTGGTTCAGATGTAAGCAATGATTTGTGTGGAGTCGATATTTTCTCCAAGAATTGCTGACATATTGGGTGGTGTTTACAGACTTTGCAACAATTGTTGGCGCCAATCGACGTGGAACAACCCATCTCTTTCGACTGCAGTAATCATCCACAGCTTTTGACCTTTGCAACAATTATATATCGATTCAACTTGGCTCGCCTTCAAAATCAGCCATATGACCTCATGTCAAGCCTAACAAGGATATCAATGGATCAAACCTTTAACGAGGTCAGTTTATATTTGCAACAACTTTGCGTTTTGGTTTCAATCTTTCTAAATCTCATTTCTTACTACAGCAACATCCCATGTACCGATTCATGTCGCTCATCACCAATTTAATTCAAAGTGCTGAGAAAGCCGGTATCGCTGCCCACCTTGGCGGTAAGGATGATGAAGCTAGTCTCAATGCTAGGGCGAAGATGGTCGGGATTGCAAAGAATTGGCTGGAAGAACAGTGAGTGATTGTATTTCAGTTATGGAAAACATGATGAGCTACCGTCAGGCTGATATTTGAATGCCTTTAGATATGTCTTATTCCTCAATGCTACTGTACAGTCGAAGTCAAGTATATATACTGGTACCTCGCCTGCTGCTAAGATCAAAACATTCATTAGTGCACTGCACAGTGTTAAGACTATACCAAACCTTGAGGTACGTAAAAATCTCGATCATCGCCGCAAATGCGTGGTGTTAGCATCAAGCCGCTTATGCATTTCCATGTTCTTCATTTATCGGAAATAGAACGTCAATGGTGAACAACCTTGGGCTATTCTTTTTTACCACATGCGTACTGGTCAGAACAAGGAAGCTTTGGATTATATAAACAACAACCTACCCCTTTTCAAGAGCACACCTAGCATAGCAGAATACTTTTCGGCCTTCATTGCAGATCTTTCAGACGGGTTAGTTTTCATCGTTGGGCAAATGCCAGGTTCGGGTTTACGCTTAGGCTATCGATACTTATCTTTTTCATCATTTTTTCAGATCCATGTCAGAATTAACGAGATCGAGAATACAACTTGAATATGACCAAATGTCTCGCAACACCGCCGAGCCTATCGACCCTTACAAGTTTGCAGTGTACAAAATCATGGGTCGGTGTGAACTGAACAAGCGCACCTTACCTCATATAACTAGCAGTACTGAAGATTGGCTATGGCTTCAGGTACAGTGTCTTTTGTTTACGTCGCGCTTGCAAACCTATACAGTCAGCTGATATCTTTCATGTTGGTTTATAGCTTTGCCTGGTTCGCGAGTCCGCAGCCAGCTCTATGAAATCCGGAGGAGAATACCGATTGGCAGATCTTCAAAAAGTTCTACAAAAATATGGTCCTGAGCACTTTGATCCACACCGCGCTAATCCATGGAACTATATGATCCTACTCCTTCTTACGCTCCAGTTTGAACAAGTTGTTCATCAGCTCTACAGCAGCAAATATCAGATAGAAGCTGTTCATCTTGCTATTGGATTCGCCTCCCATCGCATGCTCAGGACCACTCTAGATACAAAGCAACAAGAGAGCCTCTGTAAGACTTATAACAGCTGTGATAAAATGGTAGCTGCATTCACATTCTAATCATATTTAATTTTTGTGAACAGTGGTTGTTGGAGACGACGGCTCACCAGCATTGAACTACATACATTTAATACACCAATATTCGCTGATGTTCACAATTTCCAATCCAGAAATCGCCTTCCAGTATCTTCTGACCATATCTGTGCTGGATGACGAAGCGTCTAACGGAAAACGAGCATCCGAACTATGCCGGTCATACATCGAAGAGCTCGTCACACACACCAGAGCGTATTCGGTGCTATTGGGAAGTCGTACTGTGGACGATAAAGTCGAGCAAGGTTGCGTTGAGGAATTCAAAAAGCTCATCAAAGCAGACGATACGTTCACCCGGTCATTGGTGGTTGCTGCTGCCGACAAGTGTCGCCATGAAGAACGCCATACTGATGCGGTTGCCCTATACTACCTTATTGGCGTAAGTTCCAACCACTCTTGACTCATTTGTATGGATTGACATTTTAATCATTGCGTTGCTTTCCAGGATCATGCTGCTGTCGTTGACATCCTGGTTCGAGAGCTCGGAAAAGAGTTGATGCAGCCAGTTATGCGACAGGGACCTGGTGCGGACAATCAATGGTCGCAAGCGAATATACCAAGTAACAGTGAAGAGCTTGTCAAGTATGCGAACGATGTTGCAGCACGATATCGAACTGCACGTCCTGGCGACGGCATCTCCCAACAGAGAAGAACAACTTTACAATCATTGGCAAAGCTGCATGAGTTCCGTTATCTTTGCATTTATGGAGTAGCTGAGCAAGCCTTAGAGGTATGTGCATTGTGTCTTTGGATTAGGCAAATACCATTGTTCTCATTAATCTCATGTGTATATCATGTATAGCTGCTGAATGAAGTAGGCATTATTCCCATGCAAGGCGATATGACTACTATTGCTCGCAAGGCAGAACAACTTGAAGACTATGAGGATACAATCGTTCGATGCATTCCTAACCTCTTGCTGATGACGATGGCCCTGTTTAGCGAGCTATTCATGATTTCCAAGCATTCTGGTGATACCAATGTGAGTAATGATTGAGCGATTATAAGAGGTTCATCCTATATCAATTTTTGCTTACGATCCTACTATGGCAGAAAACGATGTTGGTCAAACAGAGAAGCCAAACCATCTTGAAGTTTGCAGGATTAATCGAAAACATACTATCGGCCGATGTTTGCATCCGAATCAACAGGTACAGTTTCGCATCGGTGTATGGTTATATTAGTATGTGGTGACTATGACTAAATTTTTGGTGCTTGCGTCCCATATAGATTCGACATCGAGATGATATGATAGCATAGACAGCACTTTCATGACAATAGCTTTTTCTTTGCAGTTCTCGTGCCTTTCTTTTGCTGTTATAGTGCCTATCATGCATCAATTTGCCTGCGTCCATGTATTCTTGATTACAATGTATCCCTCTTTTTTTCATATGATTTGCAAATTGTCTGCTTTTCTTGATCTTCATAATAGGGTGGTCTCATTTGAGTGATATATCTGTGGCTTGTCGGTTTCAGTCGATCATAAAAGGAAAGTCAGATGAAGGAAGTCCACCTTTCACCTTTTGAACATAGCCCTACAGTATGATTACAAATCCTTGACACCAAAAGCTACAGCGATGAATACCGCATATACCAGAGATCCAGTACGTTCTCTTGTATTGGTGAGCAAAACGATGATGATTAATTCAACAGAATCAGAGTATCACAACATATGCTTTTGAATAACACACGTAAGCCTGCGTAATAGTATTGCGGCAATCAAATCTCAAAACGCCATATTAACCAATGTCCAAGAAGCGCGGAAAGAGGCCCGAACGCCATCATAACGAATGTTCAAAACGGTCGGAGAGAAGTCAGTGTGACTGATTACTCCTTCACTGACAACTGGTCGAATCCTTGTTTTTAAACCTCATATACTGTCTTTCCTATAAAATCAAGATTTGCGGAAAAGTGATATCCCTTTAACACAACAGACAATGTCTTTCAACAACAATCATACAAGGAAGACTGTCCTAATCACTGGAGCATCCGACGGATTAGGTCTAGAAGCTGCAAAAAATTATGCTAAAGCTGAATTTACTACTGTAATGGCTGGGCGATCTGCAGAGAAGCTCGCTAAGGCAGCTGAAGCTGTAAGGATCGCTGCAAACATTGATGCATCTCAAGCTGATGAAAAAATCCACACCATTTGTTTTGACTTCTCCAGCCTTGAATCAGTGCGCAACGGCGTGAATCAATTCCTGGATCTCAATCTACCACTCAATCTACTTATCAACAACGCGGGTATGTTCGGCAGGTCTCGTGAATTCACCAAGGATTCAAACGTGTTTGAGAAAACTCTTATGGTCAATATGGTGGGACCTCTGCTGTTCACCGAGTTGTTATTACCAAGAATGATGGAAAGTGGAGGTGGCAACATTATAATTGTGTCGAGCAGCTTGCATTTTCCAAAGAAGGTAAACATAGAAAAAAATCTCGCACAAGAAATCACTCCACGAGCTTACAAAGTTGACTTGTATTGCAGAACTCTAAAAAGCTCATCTTACCTCTGGATAATCTTGATGGATCCAAGGCCTGGAGTTCTGAAGGATCCTATGCGGTAAATCTTTTAACATTTTCTATCCACAAGCTGTGTCAATTCTAACAGTGGTACAATAGGCGTCCAAGCTAGCAGATCTCTGGTGGGCTTATGTACTGGCCGATAAACTCTCTAAATCTGATCCTAAAATTAGGGTGAATGCTTTAGATCCCGGAGCCGTTCCAAGTACTGGAATAGCTCGTGAAGCCCCATGGATAATTCAAAAGGTGCTACCATATATCCTTCCTCTAATAACGTCCAACACTGTGACATTAGAAACAGCCGGCGAACACTATCTAGGCTATGGAATCGATCCTCAATATGCATCGGACAATGGAATATATTATGATAGAGGCAACAAGGTGAAGTCCTCAGAGGAATCTTATGATATGGTTAAAGCTAAGACTGTTTACAACTTAGCCTGTCAAGTCACTGGGCTTGACGACCGTAAGGTTGCTGTTTAGGAAACAGACCTCGGTTCTGACCTCAGCGTCATCAGCGCTTATTAGCTTGCTATTGGAAACATGTGTATCAATATTTTCAGAGACTTTATCTCAAATAAATTTAACGATGTTTACTCTTATATAAATTCCACTGTTGACAGTTAAAAGCATCCATATATTTAGCAGAAGGAATCTGAAATCTTGTTATATTAAGTCGATACCGACAATGCTTCTGATCTGGTAAATGTGTTATGCGCTCTAGAGTCGCAGTGTTTTGCATAGTAAATCATGATGGCAAAGGAGATCAGTTTTATTCAACGAGAGATTGCACTTGATCGTTAATGGAATTGCATAACCCTTCATAGTATATCACAAATTATACTTCTTCTTTAACCTGAGGACAATCTCTTTAGCATATCGTGTAAGACAGCGTCGCATGATCTTATTGTTCATCCGACATATGGGCAATCTTGGAAGCATCTGTGCGCAACTATATATTTAAAATCATGGCCTGCTTCCAGATCAAACCATGTGTGATACATAGAGAATCTCTCATCTATATGGCTATGATAGTGAAAAATGATACACCGATTCCATAACTTTGAGTAGCGTTGAATAAACCAAAGAAGTCCTTATGCATTCCACCCATAAAGGTGCGAAAATCGAAGTCGGTGATTTAACTCTGACTGTTGCCATGTTGCACAATTTTTTTTTACTTTGCAATAAACTGTCTGATCATCACCTCACAACGCCTCTATTTCCTCTCCTACTCAGCAATTTCCAATGCGCTTTAATGCGGGAAGGAACAGTACAGAAAAAAATGATCCAGATGACGACCAGTCAATGTACGACATATCCACTCTCTTTCACACTGTCACAAATGATAACAACGACGATATTACACTTTCGTTCTTCGATGCAGCGATAAACGGAGACTTTGATGTAATGAAAAGATTTTTAGAGCACAATGCAGGCATTGAATGGGAGAATGATCAGAAGAATAAAGCGCTCAAGATCGCTTCAAGAAATGGACACAGTAACATAGTAACTCTGCTGCTCACTCATGGTGCGGATGGCAACGCAAAAGATGAAAATTCAGACACAGCATTCCATGAAGCTGCGAGGTATGGACATAAGGAAGTAGTGCAGCTTCTACTTACTCATGGTATTGAGGTTGATTTCAAAGACGAAAGATCAAATACCGCACTTTACTATGCTTCTAGGAAAGGGCACAAAGAAATAGTGCAACTGCTGCTCGACAGTGGTGCCGATATTGACGCAAAAAACCAATATTTGGATACCGCACTTCACACTGCTACTTGGTATGGCCGTAGCGCCGTGGTATGCCTGCTGCTCAATCATGGTGCATCAGTTAACGCCAAAAACGACCAATCCAATACTGCGCTTCACATGGCTGCCAGACAAAAAAAAAACGAAATAGTGAAGATGCTGCTCAAGCATGGTGCGACTGTTGGGGCCATTAACAACTTTTCGAGGACCCCACTTCACACTGCTGCATTGTTTGGACGTAGGAAAATAGTACAGCAGCTTCTCATTTGCGGAGCAAACGCTGAAGCAGAAGATCACGCGTTAGTTAGCCCACTTCATCTGGCTGCGCGTAGTGGAAGTAAAGAGGTAGTACAGCTACTGCTTCGGCAAGGTGCGGCTGTTGAAAAAATTGATATATTATCATCTACTCCACTATATCAGGCTACAGTCTATGGCCATTACGAAGTGATACAGCTGCTCCTCGAGCACGGTGCGGATGTCAATATGAAAACTGATTCATCATACTCTCCTCTTCGTACAGCTGCACTGTTTGGACACGTAGAAGTAGTAAAGCTACTTATTAAGCATGGCGCGGCCCTTGGCAAAAAAGGCAGAAATTCAGATACTCCACTTCACCTGGCGGCAAGCGGCGGACACACAGAAATAATGGAGGTACTTATCAATTGTGGTGCGACCGTTGACGCAAGAAATGACGATTCAGAAACACCTCTTCACAGAATTGCATGGCATGGAGGTCAAGAAGGAGTACAGCTGCTACTCAAGCATGGTGCGGCCGTTAATGCAAAAGACAAGAATTTATTCACGCCGCTTCATAATGCTATAAGAAGTGGAAGCAAACAGACAGTGGAGCTGCTCTTAAAAAACGGTGCGGATGTTAATGCCAAAACCGACCGGTTACATACCCCAATTGTCTATGCTGCATTCGAAGGAGACAAAGAAATAACGAAGCTGCTGCTCAACTATGGTGCTAATGCTAATGCAACAGATCCAGTCACCTTCAGTGCACTCCATCTTGCTGCATATCGTGGATATACGGAAGTAGCATCTGTACTTCTTGCTGGCTCTCCCAATGCTGTCCATAGGCGTAACTTCGTCAACAACGTTCATTTTGATGTGCCAGAAACTGGTGCTATCCCAAAGAAAAATCGGTTATCAGGATGTGCTGCTAATATTGAAGCCGTTAACAGAAGTGGCTCCACTGCCCTTATTACTGCTACAAAAGCATCCAGACTAAACATGATGTCTCTATTGATTGACAAAGGCGCCAACATAGAAGCTACTGATAGAGACTCTCTTACGTCTTTAATCTGGGCTGCAAAAAATGGAAAACTGGACGTTTTGGAGTTACTATTGCGAAAGAACGCAAAAATCGGAGCCACAACAAAACACGGCGATACTGCTCTCCATCTCGCTGCAGAATCCAACTATTCAACCATCGTGACTACTTTGATAAAATATGGTGCCAATGTTAATGCTAAAAACGAAGACGGGAAAACACCAATTCAAATCGCTTTATTGAAAGGCTACGATGAAATAGTAACCCAGCTAAAGAATTCCCGAGAGCCACTTGAAGACTTCGAAGACGATGCGCCATGACATTTATACCAAGCCGCGGATGTTGTGAAGTCGATGTGTATTATGGAGATTGAGAAATGGAGAAATTCCGCTAGAGGAGTAATGATACGTAAATGAAATGTTGTGCAGAGCCTTACAAGATATAAAGGTTCATACGATAGCCATCTTTGACAGTGGTGCAGACGTTCAAACACATGACAACGATTAACTACCACTGCTCCTCTTAAGTTTATATAAAAGCAGTGAAGCCTTTGACTCAATATAATTCTATACCATTTTTGCGTCGCAATTTTGAACTGTACTGTGTGTGCATTGTGAAAGTGATGTTACTCCTGCTATAAACTTTACGGTAGTTTCTAGAAATGGCACAACTTTATTGAACACCTTACTTATCTTCCTTCCCGCCAACAATGCATTCTATGAGGTTAAGGAAATCAAATTGACAGAACTTCAACATTGTGGACGGACAATTTAAAGGAAGGAATCATTGGTAAGCACTTTGTTAGTGTGGATTTGCTGTTAGAATCGTTCCTGACAATCCTTTGACATGGTTACTTTTCACTAACAAAATATTACTTGAGCGTATGTAAACAAGCCTTAATAAGCGTTCCTTGATTTCAATTATCATGCCTGATGGTGAAAGGCGTGGGGCTTATATTTAGTAATGGTTTTCAGTCTGCCAAAATTTGGGAGAAATTGTTGGCTGGATTGTTGGTATTTGTCGCACAAATGTACGATTTAAACAGACGCTGAGCACAAACTTTCAGTCCTCTTTTTTCTTTCTTTTCTATTCTCAAATGTCCTTCGATACCGGCAGTAACAGCAAGGAGCACCAAGCTTCGAAAAATGATCAGCCTACGAGCAACATGGCGATTATACCTTGCCTTCGTGAAGATACCGATACAGAACAAGAGGACAAACCTCGATGGTTTGATTCAGCGTGTAGTGGAAACATCAATGCTATAGAGAGTTTATTACGACGTGGAGCTGATATCAACTGGGAGGATGATCAGAAGAGAACTGTGCTTCACATATGTGCTGGCTATGGGCACAAGGAATTGGTATCACTTCTTTTGACTTTTGGTGCGGCTGTTAATACTAAAGACGAAAACTCGAGTACTGCGCTTCACCTAGCGGCGTGGTACACAAAAATAGATGTTGTGTTACTGCTGCTAGAACATGGTGCTGAAATTGATGCAAAAGATGACAACTCGGAAACAGCACTTCATATGACGACATCGCGTCGCTCTAGGAAGTTGGTACAGCTATTGTTGGATTATGGTGCCTCAGTTGACGCAAAAAACAACAGGTTGTTGACTGCCTTACATATAGCTTCGTATATGGGGCACAGTGAAGTAGTACAGCAGCTGCTCAACCATGATGCAACAATTAACGCCAAAGATAAAGATGGTGGTACTTCAATTCACCTAGCTTTACTTCGTGGACATACAGAAGTAGCGCGTCTTCTCATTGATAAAGGTGCAGCTATTGATTCAGTAAACGAGGATAGAATGACTCCAATTCACATGGCTGCGCGGAATGGACAAACAGAAGCAGTGCAGCTACTCATAGAACGAGGTGCTGCAGTGACAGCAGTATGCAAGCATTTAATGACACCACTTCATTACTCTGCGTGGAATGGCCATATAGAAGTAGTACAGCTGTTGCTCAGTTATAATGCAGCAATTGACGCCAAGGATACGGATGGTTATACTTCACTTCAGCTAGCTTCATCGGATGGTCACACAGAAGTAGTGCAGCTGCTCATCGATAAAGGTGCTACAGTGACAGCAGTAAGCGAGCATTTAAGGACACCA